ACCAAAAAAAAAAATGGGAAAAAGAGAGGGGGGGGGGGGGGGTGCAGTCCTCTAAAACAAAAGCTAGTGCGTAGGTGAAGCTAACTGAGATGGATATGGGAGGTGAGGAATTCCAGGTTATCAGAAAGCTGTTCGACAAGTTCGGAATAAAATGCGTATGAAGCACTGGTTAGAAGAGGACAAAGAGCAACTAAGGCATTTAAACAGAGCGACATCCAGATAGGATTAAACAGATAATAATGTCAATACTCTGAGTCACACTCGTGAAAAACAAGCAACAGAGTGCTGACACAGTGGTGTCCCAACCTGAGATTGTAAGGCTGCACAGTGTCTTACATTTATCCTCACATGCTCCCATACATCCCCTCGCCAGCTCGGATTCTACACACAAATTAAACAGCACTGGGACGGCTTTTGGTGTGTGTGATTCAAGTCACTCCAGATGGGAAAACAGATTCTCGACTCCGGAGATCGACGAACAATGTCAAGGAAAACAAACAACTTACCGCTTCGAAAGCTCGTTTGCATCCGATCCGAAGGCGGGACTTTTGCAACAACCGGCGCCTCAGACCTAGGATGAGACGTGGGTATAAAAAAAGCTCTGAGATTTTAACTGATCCTTTGTTTATGGTGCAATATACCCATCCAGCAACATATTGTGCGTTGCTTTCGATGTGCATTAAACGGGACCCCTCATAAGCAACACATGCCGGTCAAGAGAGGTATCATATGACTGTATAAGACAAAATATGATTCAAACATTATGAAGCTGCCTCTGTTGAAAACGATAAGCACGGTACCCACTTTGGTAGAGACTTTGTCCTGTAAGTGAGATCAATCTATGCTGAAAAGGCGCGGGGTGGAGACTACCTAGAGTTTCGTGAGATACATACTGCTGTTGACTCACAGTAGGGTTAAAACAGTGTTTTTGGGCTTTTGAGCACAGATTGGCTTCACTTAAAGGATAAAAACTCTCCAGAAATCTCCTCACATAAACAACAACCTCCCTCTGTTCAGAACATGAGTTTCCAGATGCACTTACTTTTCATTGCAACTAAGATTGAATGAAACACACGGCAAATGCACTTTCCAAGGATAAGACACAGTCTGGTGATATTGACAAATGGATGATTGCCAGAGGGCCATCGTGCAACATCGATTAATTTCTATTCCCTCGCATTGCTCAATATGTCAAACGACCGCCTTGAAAGAACGAGGGTCCTGGGGTTCAAATGACATTCAGGATAAGTACGGTTGTTGTTTTGCTTATTCGACTGACTGACTGACTGTGGTAGGAGGAAAATTCCATAATGTATTTTGAAATAAATCGCCAAAATCTCCTCACAGGTAACCGATGTCTTGTTGTTCTAGTGCAGGTGAGAAATACTTTACATTAGCTCCTCTTCACATCTTAGAGGAAGTGTCCGACGGTGGTAGCAGACGAAACGTGTTGGTTGCACACGGAAGCCATCACATCACCCTTGTTGTAGTGCTAGCACAGTTTACGGATACTGAACGCACAAACATTGATAAATATTTACCTTCAACAGTCAAATCGATGAAAACTGTATCTCCGTAAAGAAGACGTTCAGCGGTGTCGACTGTGTGAAGCACTCGATGAATGAGCCAGAGGGCATCGAGTAGCAGTGCCGCGCCAAGCACGTGGACCCAGCCCAACTTGAGATCTAGCCATTTTGAATAATTTGATGACGATTGTGAAGAGGGTTCTACGGGAATTTCGGTCCCATCAGTTGCATCCTGGTGTTCCGTATCCAAGCTGTCAAGAAAATCCCCGGTATCCAGGCCAGAAGGATCGGCTTCCGTATTCAGACTAGACCAATAAGCTTCATTTGCTTCCTGCAAATGAGGGGAATGAAATTCATAGAAGAAAAACTAAGATTGAAAGCGTCAGAGAGGAGCGAAAGTGAAGAAATGAGAGCGGATGTTACAGGATCACTTTCTATCAAAAAACCAAACAGTAGTCGCAAGCAGCGGAAAAGGGAATCAATGCTTGAGAAAACAATTGTCAAAAAAAGACTGCCTCCCAGTGGATAGAGGGTAAAAAACCATTGTTCTGCCTGTATCGCGGAAATAACTAGACGAGTACCGAAGCCGGGTTCCCTAAATAGAACAGCGTCTCGACCGGAGTGTGATGGCATCACGATAGCTTTCCAACTCCGTATGAACTCCATGTCACCCATTCCATCCGTAGGAAATACGTTCACCGGCATAACAAATAAGTTACCAGGGCTGTGAATCTCACGCGTTGCATGGGTACTTTGGTTTCAAACGCGTGAAACTGCCAGGCACTAGAGTCGACAAACTAACCAGTTCATTGCTGTGGATTGTTCTAAAGGAGTTCAAAGAGAAAACAAACCAAACCTTAAAAGAGACAGCTTTGGCTGAACGCCATTTACGAAACCAAGAAAGCAGCACCGAAGCAACCTGTTTACGCCGGAAAGCGAAAAGTCGAAATTACTTTTCTGCAACAGCTGCCTCCAAACAGGTAATCTTGCGCCTCACCCATCTAGCAGTCAGATGCTGAGATAACGGAATCGAACCATCGTAACTGCCAAAACCGCGTCTTTGTTTCACTGACCACAGGAACCACTGTGGCAGATTACGACAAGGATACAGGAAGCTATTTGTTTGTTAAATAGACATACGAAAGACTCCCACCGAGTGATAAATTATCCACATTTTCATTGCAGAAAGATGGAGATCATAGCAACAAGAATCGAACCCAAATTTGACGTATTTCGTTTGAAGGGTGGAAGAGAGCCAGAGGCGGTCAAACAAGGACTTGGAAACGAAGTGTGAAAGCCATTACCAGCAAACTCAGCTGCGCTGGTCACTGCCGTCTTCCTGGATGGGGAAACCGAGACGGGCCACATCAATGACTAGAGACATTGTCAAACATGGCCAAGTCGCGCCCTCAATGGCGCTCGTACATCCAAACTGGTGCCTTCAATGCATAGCTCCTTTTCCAACCCCCACTTGACAGCCCACTGACAGCGCTGGATTTATGCACCAATTTATCAGCTCCCGCCTGCAATGCGCAGCTACCTACCCCTTGCCCCAAATCATCGGTGAACGAGACTGAGGCAGCTACAACCACTGTACGACGAGTACGCGGTTAAACAGTTGATAATGATGATGACCTAGTTCTTTTGGCGCACTTCGAATGGCGAGGTTTCATCAGAATGTGTACACTTATGGGGCCTTCAAACGACGGAAACTAGAAACACAACTAGATGTGATCATGAGTTGAACTCTCATACTTGCGGGAGTTTATATTCCCGCAGACCAACATGCTGAACTCAGACAACATTAAATCCAACGAGAAAATATACAGGCGCCCTATTTGCGTTGCCTGTTCGGGAACAGCCTCCAGTCACTTCCTGTTTCTGCACTGCTTCGGGCATTCCAAGGTGGTTGTATGATTTGTACGCCATTAATGCTACCCTCAAGACTGTGAATTCGCGACTTACCGCTTCGATTGGATGGAGGATGAATGGGGTGTAACTGGGCCCATATTCCGGCTCATCGCCACCTTGTGTCAACCCGGAGCTCCGTGGTGACGGCGTTGGTATCTGGAACTGGTCTGGTTGAATTAGTGGAAGAATCGGAGGTGGATGCTGTAGCTGTGGTGACTGGCCAGGGGATAATAGGTCTACAAGCGAACCACTCCCCCCAGGACCCAGTAACTTGGCCCATTGTAAAAATGAGCGCGTGGGGTCATTTGGATCGGGATGCAGTCCTCTTAGCTGAACGACCTCGGCGTAGATGATCCGTGCACCTGAGAAGGTAATACGACCAAGGGTAAGGATCAATTAGAATGATAATAAAGGGCCAGAAGAGGTAAAACACTGGAGTTTGCTCCAGTGTCAGACCAAAGCAAGTCACCAGACGGATGGGGTCTGAAGCCAAATTTAATCAACCCCATTTTGGAGTGTGAGTCTAATCATTCGACAATTCGAACGGAGCTGCAAGAAGCCTTGGTGAGTGAACTGAGCGGGAAGCTATTGCTCCACCTAAACTATTTGCGGCCCGGGGTCTTCAGCTGTCAGCTTGAGTGCGTGGTTATTGCCCAAACGTCCGCCTCAACATTTTCCAACAACCTACTTGACCCCATTGTACAAGCTTTACAGTGTTCCGAAATGGCGGGTGCCGATGGTACGGCAAACAAGTCCATCTACACAGCAGAACCAAATGGGATAACTTGCAGATCAGAGCAAACAAAAAAGAAACACGGGTCTTGGATGGAGGAGTATAGATCATACGTTGAATTCAAGAATCACGTGCTTCGAAAAGAAAATTCCGCAAATACAGGTATCGATGCGATGAGTACAAGGTGTAAAGATAGGGTTGTACAAGTAACACACGTATAGACAGTCTAGCCAGTCGAATGCGTCAAATGATTATCAGCACACTGTCTATCCTGCCATTTTTCCTGTAAACGGTTTGTCACTGACCGAAGGGGCATCATGAAGCACAAAATTCGGGATTGTTGGAACGCGCTGTCTGTATTGGAGGCAAATCTGTGTCTCAGTGGATCAAACACAGAACTGTGATGCAATTCTTGCACCTTTCGAACGCCCAAGGTCAGCTGAAGGATAATTTGTAGGTGGCTGTGAAAAATCGTAGTTCTCAGTTTATTTCATACATTCTGTGGTGTCGAATTAGTAAACAGTCGTATTTAAATTTTAGAGAGGATCGCAGGTGTACAAGAACTTACGCTGAATCTATCTTTAACCTCTCTAGGTTTTTAAGTTAAAAACGCGCGCACAACCACCCGACTGAATATATTGTCATGCCAGATCCGTCAAAGCTATACTTCATTTTGTGCACCGAGATTTGTGTGCACAAATATTATGTGTGCACGACTGAAATCACTTAACAGAGATCCAAAAAGCGCCGACGCCTCCATAGCTCAGTGGTTAGAGCACTGGTCTTGTAAACCAGGGGTCGGGAGTTCGATCCTCCCTGGGGGCAGACCCTTTTGGAAGAGCAACCCATGTCAGGCTAGCCTCTCGCGCCTACCACTGCAGAGGGGGAACGTACGAGTGTTCAGAGTCTCCTTCGAAGGCGAATGAGTGATAAAAGGAATCTGTGTGCGACAACTTCGGCGGTGTTGCAGGGAGGCGCCGAGGCGGTCGACGAAGCTGAACTCTGGTTGGGGGGTATTTCGCCGGTTTTTCTTAACTACTTATGAGTAGTCAACGGTTTCACGACACTTGATTTTTCGCAATATGGCCGACCACTTCAACACGTGCTCATCAGATTGGCGAAACGGACGAATTTGCGTGGATGATTTGATGTAGACGACACGGTTCAACCATGTCAGAACCACTGTCAGACCACTGTTAAGCAGCCCAACGAAGCACAGCGAGTCTCTGTGTCGGAGTTGAAGTACTGTCCTCGGCGATGGAAATGTGAAAACAGCACGTCCATGATCTCCATAGTTATGGAAACAGCGACACTGGCTGCTCCGAAGACGGACGGGTTGGAAAAAAATCGGCCTCAAAAACCGCACATTCCAATCGCTTAACGACTGATTGTGATCAACTGTCAAGCATCCTTCAATACAGTCGAAATACGTTTAAAACCGGGGTCTGGCGTTGCTCAGGACACCTGCTGTGCGAAGCCGCATTAGAAGTGAAACAGAAATGCCTTGATCCCTGCGTCCTCGGGCTAGATCCGCTCCCTGCTGTCGAGTGCGTCAGACTGTTGAATCACTATCCCGAAAAAGGTTGTTCAAGAAAACCCTAACAACCAACGTCTCATGGTTCAAACTTTCGAGTCAGAGGCTAGGGGCGGGGTTCCCGAAAAAAAACCGACATCCTCGCACTGCCTTGTGGGTCAGACGTTTGATTCAAAGGCTCAACCACTCCTTAAGCTCAGGCAACCAGGAAGTATCATTCGCCATTGAAGCATTTCGCTTACATGCCTTCACCACACCCATTCACCGCCCATCGAATGAATCCATTGCCATTGCCTTAGCCAGTGTTCCGTGTCTAAACTGTTGCCCAGGAAAATAAACCAAGTCTCTTGCTAAACTCAAAAGATCTGATCCGTATCCAGTGATCTTCTCGTAGCGGGTCGTGATATCTTCGGTGTGGGAGTTGCGAAGCTGAAAGCGCCTTACTGGGCTGGATCCCAGGAAACAATCGACTTTGTGCTATGCAGTTGTCTAGCTCAATCAAGGTCCATGGGGATCGACCCGGTAAACGGTGTCTATGTGTCGCATCAGCAAATGCCCCGAGAGACTCAAAGGGACGGATTTTATCGAGTTCTGTGGCGACCGCTCCGGTCAACAAGAACGGATACAGTAATCCTGGCAGGTGATATGAATGTCCCATTAGACGACTAAGTCCGGAACAAGCAGAACTGGGTGGTAGATTTGGAGTCGATGCTCCGCGCGCAGATAATGAGGAGCGACTGGCTCAGTTGTGCGCTGTCTGTTGCCAGTACGAACTTCCAGCACAAATGCTCACATCGACTTATTTGGAGTTCACCAAACGCAAGCTACTCATGTGACCATCGCCTCAGGCTTCAGCTGATCTGATCAACCAGTCAACAGAAGATAAGTGTCAACGAAATGATGTCAATAAAAAAGGGAACGGCAATTCACTCGCAAAGTCGTGGTCTTGAGCGATGGGCTGATCAATTCAAATGACAGTTTAGCTGATTTCCTCCAATCTCAGGAAGAATCCATGCGGACCTAAATAGAATATCGACAACATAAATACAGCGTGAGGTATCAATCCTTCAGTGCGACAAGGTCCTTGGTCCGGATGGCCTACACCCCACACTGTTCAAAGGTAGCGAGATCCTGGTGAACAGCCATACTTCACAAAAGTTGGAACGAAAACAGAATAGCAGTTGATCGGAACTCTTCAACCGTCATCCAAGTCTTCGAAAAAGGCGCAAGAACGTCTTACGAAAGCCATCATAGTATCACTCTAGTGCATTCTTGTATTCTTTTGGGCAGGTTGATCGATTATTAGGAAGGATGAACTCGTGAGAATCAAGTCAAGTTTCGCCCTGAATCAGGGAAGTTCTTGAGCACCTCCACTCTTTCAAACATCCATCATTGGTCGCTTCTCTTGATGTGAAAACTGCTTTTGACTCCGTCGATCGTCAGAAACTCGGTGTCTGGCTCTTGAGCACCTCCACTCTTTCAAACATCCATCATTGGTCGCTTCTCTTGATGTGAAAACTGCTTTTGACTCCGTCGATCGTCAGAAACTCCGGCGGTGTCTGGCGATCAAAGGGGTTCCCTCTAAATTTGTACCTTTGGATGCTTTACGAGTACGCCAAAGAGCTTCGCCCGAGTTCATTGATGAATACAAGGTTATCCTTCAAGCTGAAAATTCTCTAGCTGTCTCAAAAATTCTGGAGGTTGTAGTGCTCCCGGGAAGTTCTCTCACAGACATTGAGAATGCGGACGAATGACTTTCTTTGGTCCATATCCTTCGAAAATGTAAACCATTTCAAAGAACCTAAATAACATTGCCACATGGTGTGGTATGCGATTCACGCCTACACAGTGAAGTATTAAGTGAACACGTATCAATACCGATGGACCGGTATTGCTGGGATTGCTCTCAAGATTGGGAAAGCCAGGAGAGCTTTTAGAAGCCTCTAACACCTGTAGCACCAAGGTCACGTCCATTGGTCTGGCAAGAACAAAGTTTACATAGTGGCAGTGTAATTTATACTGACTTAGAGACATGGTCTCTATGCGTAGAGGAGATACGAAAGATGTCCGTATTCGATCACCAGGGTGCACAGCGTATAAACTGGCAACGGGTCGACAGCTGCCGCCCCCTTGGATGGGGAGGCAGGGACTCAGCTCATCAGTGGTTAACGACACTGGAAGGAACGGCGCATTAGCGTAGTCATTGGCGCTCGTGCATCAAAGCTGTCGCCTCCAACGCGTAGCCAACCAGGTTCCGAACTAAATGAATATGCCATCAGTTCCAGTGCTTGGCTGTATTTCCCACGCTTCCCCATTTTCCGGTTGTGGAAAGCTTAGCAGCTGGAACCAACGTACTCTTGGTACATGGACAAACTGACAAACTGAAGTGAACTGAAGCCAATCTACCGTGTCCTAACAAACTCGCATAAAGGGTTCCTGGAGAACGAAAAAAATGACACAACCGTTCGAAATGGAAGTCTGTGTCTTTGAATAAAAGTCCATTTAAGCTGTGCACCATCTTGTTTACATGAAAGTGTGCTCCACATTCTTAAAATGGTTCTTCTCAAGTGGTTCCCCAAGAAACCGAGACCTCGCTCACCAAGATATGTGAAGTTTGCTCGTCGGAAGAATGCTAGCCGAAGAACTTGGCACTCCTTGCTGCTCTCCAACAAGGAAGATCCGTTCAAAAAGGATGGGGAAATACTAAAACATTGACTTCCGTTTGGCCAAATCCACTAGTTAACTTCGTTGGGGAGTCATGTTGACTTGACAAGTGGATTTTCAACACGCGGCAATGGTTTCACGGCTTGGACCAAATACGACGCACGGTAGCATACACACCCACTTTGGCGTCAGTTAAGGCTACGGGTACTTGGAAGTATTGTAGGCTCAATGGCTCGATGGAGGCTCAGTCGTGTGGCCAGTAAACCAACTTATTGTGTTTGGAAGATGAAGCCATGTGAAATAAGCAGTTCCAATGCCCAGAAGTTGAAATGGAGACTACAACTGGATCATTCGGAAAGATGTCATGGGACGCTATCGAGATAATCTCGAGCTGCAAAGGCCACTTAAGTTGAAAACGCATTTCTCACTCAGGTGGGCGATACTCCTGGTCCAAGTGCGCGCCTTACCTTCAAGGATGGGATGCTATTCCCTCAGATAACAATCAGGATGCTCATGAGAGGACTGCCAACATTTTTTTCCTACTTCCAAGGCACAGTTATGCTCAAATCAACCAGTGTACTGAGGTGGCATATCTTCTTGGTGATCACAGCATTAAACTCTAGGATGAAAAATGTTACCAGATTGTCCGAATGCGTACCGTGTGCACACCCAACAGAATAAATCAGACAGAATCAATCAAAAGTCCTTCACACCGAAGAAGATCATAAAGAAAGATCAGAACGGAAAGATAACAGCTGGTAGCAGACGGAATACCTGTTAGCCAATCGGAATTCCCCAAAGCACGTTCCGTCTCTTGCAAGTCCGATTTTAGTCGGTGGAACGCCCATTCGACACTTTGGTTGAATGCCATCAAGCCCTCGGCCAGTTGCAAGGTCGATGCGACAGCAGTTACGCGAGCCAACTCAGCGACACCCTGGGATAACAAAACACGACTACGACGGGTTGCTGCCAGTTTCGATGCCGCGCTGAGACGCTAATTCGGAAGGAATGTGAGAAAAACGATGAAATGGTGGTTGAAAGAAATCACCGTTCAGTTAAGACAGTCTAACAACGGCATGTTAGATGAAAACACCCATTCGACATGCTTAGTTGGAAGTATTTACACCCCAGACATGTGAGTAATCTTTGATCCAGGCTCTAAACGCGCCGATGTACGAATGCGCTACACCGATTACACGCGGCTTATGGCTGACAAAGAAGACTCGCAGAATGCCTACAGTGATTATGACGAGGATGATGAGATCCCCTAAAATTACAGATGTAAAGAGATTTTCGCACCCTTTGGTTGTTTTGATGGCTGTTGATCGACTGCATGTTGTCTGTGTTGGTGTCGGAGAATCCGTAATGAGGCAGTTAGAAAGCGCGTTTTCGGTTGTCCAACGGGTACTTCCATTGAAGAACGTGTCCAGCATCAGAAGCTGCGCTGGTTGGGACATGTCGCTCATGCCGAACCATCGTTTGCCGAGGAGGGCGCTGTTTTCAAAGCCCAATTCAGAGTGGCGTAACAGAGAGGTGGCTAACCCTTGACCTTCCAGAGGAGTATGAAGGAGATCACGAAACACTTGAGTGCTGTTGATGCTACTCGCCTTCCAGGATGGGGACCGCGTGATCCTCACTGTGCCTGGTTGGAGACACTACAAGACATGGCTGCCAACTGATGTCAGTGGCGTTCTTGTTGTCAGATCACCTGAGTGAATGGCTGGAGGTGTAGGCACCTCGGAATGATTGTGGTAAGCTAGCACTAAGTTCCTCCCCCGTCCACCGTCACTCTTTTCTTTACAATAAGGCTTTCAACTAAATCATGGTTGTACGGCGGTGAAGCATCGGTGTTGTACACTGATGTCATGCTGTCGATGACGAAATGTTTGTCGATCTGCTATCCGAGGTTGGCTAGTGGGATTTCGTACAGTGAAGAAGCACTGTACCGCTGTTTCATTCTTGCGGGTGATCATCATCAGCACACATCTCACGAATCACCGAGCGAACCCGGCTGGTAATTGAACATTAGGCCACGAACGGCCAAACAGTAGTGTGACTATCATTCAGAAAGAATATAGCTCCACTCACATCACACGTTCACGCCTTTACTGGTTCCTTGAGCGAGCACACTGATGACTTGTCGTCGACGGAACGTTTACCCAGCTCGATGAACGGGCCAACGGCCATCAATCATCAACAACCCGTAAACGCATCGGGGCTACCAACTACACTGTCCGCTATCTATACGGTGAAACCAACGACGTTAGAACGAATCTCGAGATGGGCGATTCCCTTCTTTGATGTACACTCACCAGAATAATTGCCCACCGTTTAAACACGAACGAGAGCCCTATACATCCCACAACCACCTGAAAGTACTATACGGAAAGGGTGTTGTTCTGAAATGACCTCATTTTGCCAATGGTCCTAGTTTTGCTGGTCAATTTTCTGGTCGAATATTCGAAATCGGTCACGGAATAGGTAACCGTGAGGGACCAGACAGAAAAAAGCTGAATTTTCTATAAGTCAGACAGTGGAGTACAAAAGGATGCATGACCACTGATTGGCCCCAGTTATTACGTATAGTATGAAGTGCCGGGAAAATCTTTCTCCTTACTGACATGCAGATCCATTCTTTGAGGTTAGCGCCGGAAAACAACCTGTTCATGAGGAATCACGAGCGATTAAAACCACTTACAGTTGTTCCAACTGCTACAATTCTTCAGTCGCCCATTTGGATGAACAACCATTTCTGTAATGCACTACTCATAAGGTTGCTGAAAACTCCTCGACAGCCCCGACCGGTTTCATCCTTCTTAGGGCTCATCAGGTAGACGCAGTCCTCGAGTTTCCGTCAACCTTATGTTCTACTTGAAACCAAATTGCACGAAAGTAGCGAATATACACCCATTTGCTGTGTTCCAGGTGAGTCTCTCGAAAAACCAAATTAGTTTGCAAATGAGTGTATTTCGCTGAACAATCACTTCATTTTCCCCACTACTAATTGCGTCCGTACATCCGAAGAGTCTACAGCTGCCAGTGCAGCATACTCGTTAACAATGCGCTGTTAGGTTGTGGTCCATCTGTCTTCAGATCAATTCCAACGAAACGGTGAGCGAAGAGCATGCTTGCAGGGCGACCGTACTGTGGAGTGTGAAGTACGCGTGGTAGACAGAATAACCTTATTGTGTCGCTAAAAGATTGCTTAGTTTACCTGGTGCTTTCACCGCCTCGATAGTTAATCCTGCACTAGGGCTTTCTTTAAATAATCTGTCACGGTTAGCTCACAGGGATGACAATCGAGTGGAGAACATACCTCCTCACCTTCTGCATTTGGTGATCATGTTTTGAACCTGTACAGCTAGTGGTTGATCAGATGGCAGTTGATCTGTTCACCGAGCTTAGCAATCGGCTTGACCTTTGTCTCCTCGACTGGGGACGAAACAATTGCAAGCCAAGCTCGGCGAACAGATCAACTGCCATCTGATCAACCACCAGTAAACACACCCGAGCTACCTATTTTTCGACGAACTTGTACACCATTGTATACTTTTGACAAACAAGCTGATGTATCAGTCTGTTGAAAGTTGAATGTGACTCACAAACTGCATCCAGAAAAAAACACCCTTACCTCCTCCATTTGATCGAACATGACTTCCAGTCCTCGATCACAAGCTTCGCGCATTTCCTTGGCTAGTGTCTGTTGTCGAACCAGCTCAGCTCGCAGGTGAACATCCATAGCTTCCTGAAGAAGTTTCTGTCGTGTAAGACTAGTGTCCATTAGATCGTTCGGTTGCACACCCATAGTCCACTCTGGTAAGTTGGTCAGCTGATTAGCCGGATCGCTAGGTTCGAAAACGAGGGAAGGGCGGATAACGGGGACTAGTTGTTGAATAGCTGGTGATACGGAGGACAGAATATGCTAGAAACATGATACCGTGTTCAGGAACACTCGCATATGACCTAGAACATCGTCCACTTTGCTGTACCATAATTTAAAACAAATCTGCGTGTTAACTTATTAAGTACAATTGGTGGGAAGATAAAGTTGACTGAGTCTCAAGCAGATTTCCAGCTGATCTGTCAGCGATCCTGTTTGCTTCGACTCAGGCTGAACTAACACACATTTCGCGGGATTTGCTGAAATTCTAAACGGAATGCGCACCGCGTCAAGTCGGAGGTCCGATTTATTCTCGAAGGAATGCAGGTGCGATACCAGCCTTATTGACAAGCCGACTTATTGTCCGATAGATCACCGACTTACCGAGTCACGTAACGGATTACAATGACCAGGGCCGTTAAAGTCACACCGAAGGTGTAAGCAGATTTGAGACACAGGTAACCGATCAACAAGAGGACGCGGCACCAACGGGAAACAATACTGTTATAGCGAGCCGGGTGTCGGACCATTGCGATTTGCTCTCCGTCATCTGTCGGCATTCGTTTGGTCTTGGCCTCCGAAGGAAACTTGATCCATGCGAGAGTAGGATCTGAAAGAGGGAAGTGAGAATGCGAAGAGAAAACAAAATCAAGCCACACAAAAGATGGTTATCGGAGATCGTGGGAGAGTTAATAACATCATTGTGATCAATTGGATGAATCGTCAACTTCTCCGAGTTTAAAGCAAGTGACTCATTGGGATCAACTGAGAACCATTCAAAAAGAGAACTGGAGGAAAAGTACTATAAAATGACTAATTCAACAGTGGGGCTTAGAGAATAGGCGTAAGCAAACAACTTTCTGCAGTGGAATGCAAACATAGCCTAAGTCGTACGGATACACACGTTTGATTCATATTTTAATAGACCGATATATAAGCAACCCCTTGATAGCACACACCGAGCAGCATTTTATAAGACAGAATGCTGCCTTTATAAAAACAACCATAGTAGGTAACCTAAGAGACCGATATAGATGCAACGGTGAGCAGACATACCACATTGATCCTGGCCAACTCCCACCCGAACTGAAGATGAAATGTTCAGTCCGTTTCTATCTACCTTATTTACCTCTATCTGGTAGAAAGAGACTGCCCAGCGAACTCGTGAATCGATAGTGATGCCCATTTTCAAAAGGGTGCTTGGAATAAGTGAGTCAAAGAGGAATTAGCTCTGTTGTCAATACACTGTCTGTATCGTCTTACGAAGGCGAACGGGAACCGGGAACACTAAGCGGAGTCCCGAGCTATACGAATCACATCCTTACATTCTGCCAAGCGTAAAAATGACATCCGTATGAGCGCCCTACAATCTTGGTGTTCTTTGACTTCAAGAGTGCGTACGGCCCTACCGACCGGTTAGTCCTTCTCAACAAGCTTGTACAACAGGGAATGTCTCATTAGTTCGTGAATCGTATTGTATTCGCATACTTGCAGGCGAGTGAAAGTGTACAGGGAGATCATTCCAGAGAACCTCTCTGAAACGATGACCATTTAGTTGGTCCAAAACGTTTTCCATTTATATGCGGAGATCTTCCCACAGACAGTGGTGCCCGACAGGAATGTCCACGCTCCCCAGTTTCGTCTTATTTCGTTGTTGATGAGGAAATGGGGCGAACATTCGAACGTTTACAAAATCTAGTTGTGTAGATCTCTCTCGGTATGTGACTGGCGCCAACAAAGACATGCTACGGGATGTACGGTCTTTGAAAATTCCCATAAGATTTCAAGGAGTGATGCTGGACGCCGTGGAACAATATGTATGTCCCGGAAGTTTCATTATTCCCGACTGTAGCATGACGGGTGAGGTCGGCGCACAAGTATCCAAGGTTAGAATTGCTTTTTGACAATTCGTCTCACTTTCAACGTCTCTGGGTCCCAAAGAATGCGTACATTAGACGATCGGTTAGACGACAGTTTGAGCATAGCTTACGCGCGAACAAAGACGAGTGGCGGAGCCAGAAAGTTCAAGTAATGGAAGAGGCTTGGAATGCATAGAAGCGGCTCCAGCTAGTCCGAAAAAAGGACAGAAAAATCCTTCCGTAAGTGAATTTATCAAAGACTATATTGAGAAACTACCATTTAATGAAGACCAGCTTCTAGATCGCTGGGCAGTAGTTAAGTCTGCCCTCCTGCCCAACCGCAAGGATACAAGTCTGGCGCCTGTCATTACACGTCGGATCACTTTCCTTCTGTTGCGACGTCCAATTTTGGAGCACGACAAGCAAGTCCGAAACTTCGAGCGCCTTGGTAGCAAAACATGCACCACCAGGTGGTTGCGCATCTGTTATGTATGCCCGACTACCGTCGACCCAAGAAAGCGTTGAGTTCCGTTCCAAGCCATGGTTGACGAAATGTCCGCGGCACGAAATGCAATGAAGGCCGCTGCAGTCAGAATGAGTGCTGCGGGATGTCCATGGTTTCCTAGCTGGGTACACGTGATCCTACTTGCACGTGAAAACCCTATAGGATATGGCATGCAACCAATCCTACTGGCGCAAGCGCTGCTATTGCCTAACCGGACTGCCTAGCTGTCGTTGTGTGCTGGGCTTAGCTAGAGCGGGGAAGTTGGGTCATTACTGCTAGTGGCGGCTTAGCTCGAATGGTGACAAAGGTCTAGGCATCTTATTGCTTATCGATGTCCTTAAGGAAAGAAGTTACTCGCACCAAGTTCCCTTTTTTCTTTTGATTATTTACTAAGGCATCCTTCCATCATGGTTGTATGTCGACTAAGCACTCGTATGTAATACTGACCTATTGCTCTCGATGATAGTAGTGCTCCATTTGAATCTCCCCGACACTAGCGTTCCAGACACAAACAACCCCGAAAGGGGCATGACGTATATTAACGCCCAAAACCAGGTAAAAAACACTTGTACGGTGCGCGGCAGAGAAAGTTTACGCGGCAACAACATTTCGGAGATTATGTGGCTTCCTGGATGCGCTATGGGCAACCGGTTTTCAGCCAGTACTGGGTCATGAATGGCTGTTGGGTTCTTGATGCCGGACCGGCAAGCGTCCCAAAATTTTGGCCAATCTTGTGCGGGATAGGCTTCTCGGCCGTAGCAGCGTCTAACTGAGGGAAGCAAACCGGTAGCTGTGTGGAATCCCGGCTAACAATGATGATAGAAGCTGGTCAAGGGGTCCGTAAGTGTTCAGGCAGTTCAAACCTTCACTTGTTCATGATGTGTTAAGGTTTGTGAGCGTCTACCGAGCAAAAGCGTTGGCGAAGTAAGCACCAATTTGTGCATGAGGTTCTGAGTTGAAGACGTCAGAATTTTAGGGAGGGGAATATGTAGAAAGCGGATGCAGACGAGCTCAGTATTATTGGAGGCGGTCCCTGAACACATAGTAATTCGAAATCAGTTCTAATATTTGGGGTGGGTGATACAGATAGAGGTGCTTGAGGATTTAACGGATAAGAGTGTTTATGTAGACTGTGATCTGTTGCGGAAGTAAGTTGAAGAAACACCGTCTCACTCACCGGGTTGTGTGATTATGCCAATGAACAAACACAGCAACAGAAGGAGGAGACAACAAATGACAGCGAAAAAGACAGATGGTGGCGGACCGAATGGCCGGAGCTCGGATTCTGTTGTTGTCTGTTGCTCCGGTTGAATCGGAGAGTTCTTTGGGCCCTTCGTACCCAGCTGGGGTTCAGCAGACGCTTGTTGCCAAAACGTTTGTTGACGGGCTGCCAAACTTGGCAAAAGATCCGCGAGAACAGGGCGCACATCATCTGATTTAAAAAAGGGGGAAACGAGAAAAAGGAGTCACAACGTGAGTTGATGACTTTATCCTTATTGTACCGAGACAGGATGATGCTCAGCGATTTCGCACTCAGTACTCAGCAGTGGTTAGTAGATGAATCGGTGTCCAAATGTTGGCACCATTTGAGAGCGGTGAGCATTCGTAGATATCGAAGGCTCTACATTATGGGGTGACCGGTTTCTCACAAACCTAAAGGTGTTATACAGACTTCAGTGGTTCATTCTTTTTTTTCAGTTGCCGAGTAGGTAGTTGTATCACCCGTACTAAGCACGAGTAACACGGGTATCAAACGATGCTACTACGTAATTGAATACCACCAGTTAGCTGACATCCTAAACACATAGCTCATCTCATACGAATTCATGAACACTGCAAATAGAAACGGGAGGTCATTTACCGTCAGGCAGCCGCTCGTAACTTCGACGCAAAGCCATTTCATGCGGCAACTGAACAGTCCGCTTCACACGAATATCCAATCGGTTTTTAGCGTCAGTTACGGTGAGACGGAAGGATTTCTCATAATCCGGTTCGTGTTCGGGGCCAGGAATCAAAATGCGCAGCTGCGAAGAGAACGAAGCCAGAAAAAAAAGCACTGAGCAGCACCAGAGGTCACCACTTATCTGTTCGTGTCTAGTTGGGAGAGGTAAAGTGGATAGTGACCCTTTTCACTAGGAGGCTTAATTTTACACCTCTTCATAGCGGCCGTCGAAGCTCAAGGGAGAATGCAGCGCGCAGAAAGAAAAGTCGATCAAATGACTTTTTTTTCTACGGATAGAGACTAGTGTTTGAGAGGTCTTGAGTGAAAAACTCGTCAGCGTTTTGGTCTTGTGGACAGATTAGGTTTACTCAAGCTCATGTTTCAGTTCAGTCATTCTGCTTAAGTCCGATGCATCAGAATGCAGCTGGGAGTACAAGAATAGCTCATCCTTCGGGTTGACACTAGCATTACCACCTTTGTCCGTCGCAGGAGCATCTGCAGTGTGCGAAATATCTGTTGATAGTCTGTACTTGCCAGTGAGCGTCCATAGCAGCGCATAATGAAAATCCTTGAGCAGAAAACGACTAACAACGCTGGCCTAAAACCGACCAGCGATTTATATTGAAAGCAGTATTCTGAAGATAGAAAAATATGGTCCAACACAAAACGTTGAAGAATCAGAAGAACGTGTATGATCAGAAAATGCGGAGTACTGATGTTGCCGGGACTGTTAGTCGGTGAGTGCAATTGAGTGAAAGAAAAAACTAGCATCAATCGTGCCTCACGAGTTCCCAACATAGAACTTCGTACTGGGAGATTCATAGGCAAACCAGCTCGAAATCCGATGAGATCGAAAAACATCAGGTATTGGGATTTATCAAATCAACCTTTACTCTGTTCCACCACACCAGCTGAAAATTAATAACTAAGGATGCGACTCTTCGGTCGGTTCACGACGGGGCACATTAGCCGCACATTGCTCTAAGCTGCAAAACCTTTACGAGCGGATTAAAACTATTTGCACCAAAATGCTGCATTTTGTTGTGTATTGGCTCAAACCAAAACCATCCTATTAGATGCTCACATTTTTCCAGCTCACCAAGTGTCATTGTCTACTGAAGCAATCATATCTCTGGCGGAAAAGTCTGGTGGAATAATTTCCTAGCATCGCTAAGACCCCGGGATGCCTAAATAGAGCTCAAAAGTTTGGACTGGTACTCTGAATCCAATTGCCCGATTGCTTCAGTCCATCAGGGACAGGTCATAGTTTTCGAAGAGTCAATTCAATTTTGCGAATAATGAGCGCCGTTCCCAACTCCAGATTCAAACTGGAGAGTCTGTTGCGCTAAAAATAATGATGGTGACTCACGAGTGTAAGCGAGATGAGGTATATTGCGAAGAGTCGTCGAGCGAATGGCTTAGAGACCCGAATACTGATTGGATTCAGTTCAGAAACACATGCTTCCCTAGGGAGTTTTTTCAGGTTGGAATAACACTACCCTGGAACCGACGACCTTCCGAACTCACTTGGAACTTGCGCTCCTCAAACACACCGATATCGTAATCCAGCAAGGGTTCCTCGCTGGGTTCGTCACTGGTTACCACGTTATCCAAGTCCGTTGGGTAGGGATCTCCATCCTCGGTCTCTACAGTAGCGTCAGCAGTCATCACCGTATGGGGGCGGCGTGAAGGTGCTTTCGATAACGCGTTGCCATTGGTACCAACATCTTTGTCCTCACTATGGTCAGTGTACACGCGGAGACGAAACAACCCGGGAAACTGATCGACCTGTCCCGTGAGGTCTATAACCCAGTAACGCCGCCGTGTATCGGTTGCGGACGAAGAGAAAACATCATCTGAAGGTCGTTTGGAAGAGTCTGGTGGAATAACAACAGCATCCCCATTGGTGTCCGTAGGCCCGAACCAAGCTAGGGCTAAACTAGCCCGAAGATACTGCCCACGTTCAACCGAGGCTGGACTGAAGACTGCGCCCAAAAGTGATGCCGTTTTAGGTATGCCGATCATCAACTAAAAGAGGAATGGGAAACACTGGTTGAACAATTAGGCTCGTGGAAACACAAAATATTTCATTTTCAGGTGCATACAACTCAGTATGGCGCATCAGTAAGTACAGCTAAACAAGCAACGTGTGCTGCCTTAATGGGTGTAGAATAAGAAGTCCAGCAAAACATTGGGAGATAAAGCCGACAGAATTGGGGAAGACAATAATGATGCGCCCGAGAGGAGAACAGCTTAGGGTATGTGCACACACAAGCGGACATACTAACAACTTGATTCGCTACCAATTACTACTTTTGAAAGACTGGAGCTCTGCAGCACTACTGCCAGCGGTTAGAAGCGAATACTGCTTTTCACTGCTCGCCCGGAACCCAGCATTAAAAACTGAAGTTGTATTGCGTGGGGCTTTTCACGCGGTACATGGGGAAAACCCGTTTGTCACAATACTAATGCAACGGTGGCTGCTACTGATGGGGCATGCGAGTAGTATGTTTTCTCGTAAACCCGCTTCGCGTCTCTCGAAGAGTGATATTTATTACGGAATTTGTGGAGTCACCTTTGGTTGCAGTTGAACAACAGTCAGTGAATATCCAAGAAAGTTCAGGAAGACGCGTTCAAGGAGAATATGGATATTCAGTGTTTGTAAACAAGATGCACATGAGAGTTTTGCGTCCCTGTCCAATAGTCTGCGGCTGTTCACTTGGCCTTTGCTGGTAAATAACTCCGCAGCGAAGGCCTTCTTCCTTTCACTAGTATCCACCGGGTACATTTCCTGTCGTTCAACTGTGAGTCATTGTACCCAACAAAATGTGACATCAACAGAGTGCTCCTTATGAGAAGCCGAGTCAAGGGAAAAGTGACCGAATGGATCCCACCTCATACTATCTCTAGCTCCCTTGATTGGTCACACGCTTCGTTCCCGGATTTTCGAATACTGTCCACAGTGATTTCAAGCCAGATTAGTGATTGATCATTTGAAATTAATCAATTAATAACCGATTGTGCATGCAGTGAATGCGAACACAGCAAACTTTTACGTAAGATGATGTAGCGTAAAAAAGAGATATTCGATTTGTGTTCGAAACACCATTAGCTATTACTTCCGGGCGCCGATGTGGTAAACTTCCTGGGCAAACGAAAACGTTGTGACGTCGTAGGTCTAACCCATCGTCTTGGCTCCAATCAGATCTGATCTTGCCAAGAAAATGTTTATATGGAAATAGCTTTTGTCCGATCGTCCACCGAGTAGGGAAAAAGATATTACTCTCATTCTTCCCCTCATACCTCTACATTACCTAAAACGCACTTGTGAGCGGACAATTTTTGCACAGCATTTCCCAGGTAGAAAACATGTCTTGAGCAGTTCCAAGCAAGGAGAGATCCCCGCCACAGCCATTTAGTAAAACCGCAAATTTGAAGCAAACCCCGAAAAACCTACTCTTTTCTTCAGTGGATCCATTCACATTTGATGTGGTGTAAGGCAATATAGCATGTGCACCTAACATCAGTGATAGGTATATTTTGAAATCTTGGGTACCAGTCTTTCAATTCATCCTCGATTGTGAAGTTGAACAAGTAAGTAAATGGATGTTGAGGATTCTTTGAGGTCTCTAACTAGTCCCACGGACAGATGTCACCGCAACTGAAATTAGTCGTTACAGACTTTGCGACGGATCGGGTCGAAACCACTGGAGGCTAGAGAGAGAGCTGGAGGTCACTTCAGTGGATCCATTCACATTTGATGTGGTGTAAGGCAATATAGCATGTGCACCTAACATCAGTGATAGGTATATTTTGAAATCTTGGGTACCAGTCTTTCAATTCATCCTCGATTGTGAAGTTGAACAAGTAAGTAAATGGATGTTGAGGATTCTTTGAGGTCTCTAACTAGTCCCACGGACAGATGTCACCGCAACTGAAATTAGTCGTTACAGACTTTGCGACGGATCGGGTCGAAACCACTGGAGGCTAGAGAGAGAGAGAGAGCTGGAGGTCATCAACTGCAGAAGAGATCTTTAGGCAGGTCACGTGGCTGATTCTGATTATGCTTCCACTGTACTGTTAAGTACTTGAATCACACAACCCAGACACGTGGATTTCGGGACTGCAGAACAAAATTTGTATGGAGTCTAACGCAGATCGTTCGTCCTCTCTTAACTTCGGCACACAGAGCCAATTAATTAGACAGGGCAATTTCACAAGAGTTGGAGAAACTGGGGTGCAAAGACCTACGCGGTCACGGAGAGTGGGATGATCTAATTCATGATGCTTCTATTCCGATAATACATGAACTCGGCCCTGAGAACCGTCGTCTGCCCCAGGGACCTGCCACGATAGTTTTCAAGCTGCTTCGTGCAACTTTCGGTCTTGTTGAAAACTCCGCGTGCAAATTCATTACTGATTTATGAACAAAACTGTCATATACTCTCACTTTGGAGTAGTCGAGAAAAACGGGTGAGCACCGACACTCCACTCTACACACACACACACACACTACTCAGTCACTCAAACAACTGTCTGTCATTAGCGTGTTAGGCAACACGCGTGCCAGTGGAGAAGCTAGAAAAGTCAGAAAATAAACTCCCAGTTATGTTGGGTCTCCGCTAATTCTTGATTAAGATGGAAGTTATGTGGAAACATTTGGAGTTTTCAACTCCTGGGATGGGATAACTGTACTTCCCGAGTTTCCCAGAATGAGTTCCACTCGAATGGTTATCAGTGCAGAACACCAAGAAGACAGCCTCTACTGCTACAATAACATTTGCCTTTCAAAGTGAAGAAATCAGTGGCTATGAACATTCGATTCTCTATGCGCATTTCGCTTTCAAATTTGACAGTGTTGTTGATGTAGCACCCTTTCGATGCCCAACTGCGATTGCACCTGCGCTGGGATACTGCCGGGTTGCCCAATTCTAGACAAGGACAGTTGAGAGGTGGTCGGGTTCGAACCTCGGACCTTTCGCTCAAAGTGTTATTGAAATCACTAGTGTTATTGAAATAGTGAGTGCGCGGACCGCTGGATCCTGTCAGGCGGAATTTCACATGGATTCCGTCTAACCGCTCGCAATCAGGTGCTGCTACGGCCGAGAAGCCTATTTCACGCAAGATTGGCCGAAAATTCGGGACACCTGCCGGTCCGACATCAAAGCAAGATCTGATTAGTCGAAAGTCTGGACCCAACAGCCAATCATGACCCAGTATTGGCTCGGTGCCAGCTGCCAATGGCGCATCCAGAACGCGTCAGAATTTCCAGAAAGTTGTTGCCGCTTACGCTATATATATANTTTTGGGCGTTAATATGCCTTGTGCACCTTTGGCAGTTATTTTGACGTGAACGCTAGCTTGGGAGGCTCAGACCGAGAACTAAGCTGAGGAAAATACCGTTACTGCATTCTGTTCCACCAACAGAGCAACGAGATAGAGTTATCGGATTTTCTTAGCTGAAATATCGAGTGTTTGGGTTGGTAGGACTCCTCCCCCAAATCAGGTGAAATTGGTCAATCGATCAACGAGAGGAACACTGCCCAAATACCGGGTGGGCAATGATGCAAAGAGTGGATTTTGTGAACAAATAAGCTGTTTGTACAGTTGTTGAATTGATTTGGTTGCGCCAACTACGCTGTCTCAGTCATGTGCTCTGTATACCAGGTGAAGCACTGCTATCTTAACTGAACATGGATGGCGACGTGTTCCGTAAAAAAAGATGGTAATGTACTTGCATTTCCAGCCGAACACCGCTGCCTTGCGGTTAGGCTTTTGAGCCAAAGACTTTGAATGAGGACCCTAATAGTCCTCCTGTCTAGGTGCAAGCGCCCTGGTAGTATCCGAGCTCACGTACAACCATGAACTGCACACAGACAGCCATCTTAACTGAAGCAGACCTTGACTGGAAGATATCACAGGGTGGGCAACGCTAAACCTAGGAAAATAGCATGAAAACATTACGGTGGGTTTTTATCTGCACTGGAGGATAATAGCTGAGAGCTAGGGGTATATGAGACAGTGGTTTGAGGTACTCACCGAAATGCTGGTATCACAAGCTGCAGAAATGTTCCATTAATTCGCTAAAAAGATAAAAATGATAATCGATCGGCTGTAATACCCTTTCGGTGCCTCGCTGCCATGTCACTCGAAGGACGTACGAGGGGTGGGATACTGCCAGGTTACCCAAGCCCAGACACAGGGGAAGTCCAGAGGGAGCGATCGGATTCGAAACCACGGACCTTCCAGTCAGTAAATTCGCGCTCTAACCACTAAGTCACCTCACCCCCTGAGCCATTCTTACTTATTAACTCACCATTCTGCTGTCGCATTTTTGCGCATCCTCCATCCCAAACTATCCGTTGTCATTTGTTGTGACTCAGACGCCGAACATAAGAACGCCGCTCATGGTCAACAAAATATGTTGTAGCGAACTACTCTCTTTGAAATGCATTCGTCATCTTCAGCTGTAAGGTCGCATAGATGCCGTACAGTGGTTGTAGCTGCCATAGGTTCGTCCAGGGAAAATAGGACCGGCGTGCTACACGTTGGAGGCAGCAGCTGACAGAATCGAAGGAAGAATCAAGAAGCAACAGTGGACCTTGTTATTGAGGGATAGCAAGGTGGACTTATACAACAAGTGCGAGAGGTTGGATGAGTGTACGTCACTGAGCCCACAACTGGTCCAAGCCTGTCTTCAATCAGTGGTGTGTTCCGCCTCGGTGCCACCATCCAGGGATAACCAATACAACCAACCTTGCTAGTGAATTTTCATACTTTGTTTCCACGAAACGCAGTGACAAGGTTTAATATGAAAACACGACGATTGTACACTAGGCTGTGTTTGATGTGAGAAACTTTGGCCATATTTATGGGGTGGAAAAAACTTGCCCTCTGCAGCATACTTTCTCCGAACCGCAAACTATATTCGTAGTGAAAAGAGCGCAATGGAATGCAAACTGGGGTTATTATGGGATCAATACATACACCGTTAAAACAATGGTGTGAGCCGCATAATTGGAGATCCAAAGTATGTCACGGAAGGGGCGAGTGCTGTGGGAACCTAGTGAGCAAGTGAAGTCTAGATTGAAAAAAAGGGGGTGGAAAAATCTCACCTTTGGTTTCGCTTTTGTGTGCGATACGGTGTACAGGTAGTTTCCAACGTATTCGACCTGAAGTTTGGACAAAAAGTATGAATGAGGTTGGAATGAAGAAAGATGGGTAAGATGAAAAGGAGAGAGATAGAGAGAGCATGATCCAATCAATTTGCGACCACAACTGGAACTCAAACATGGACCCAAAAACTCAAGAATTTCCCCAAAAAGTCTATAAGAACTGTGCACTGGAACGAGTTTATCAATTTCCGGCACACAAGCCAACACTGCTACTGACAGTCTAAGATCGATGGTATACTTCGAGGCTGAGAATTACGAATAGTTCGTTTCTGAAACGTTCACTGCGTTTTTACACGCGGTTGATCATCGTTGGGCGACAGACTGTAACTCTTCTAAACAAGCTAGTAAATAAGCCTAAACGGCTCCACTGATTCCTGTGAAGACAAATCGTTTCCAATGATGACTCGAATCGCTGCTGTTCACGAATTATAACCAGCGGCCAAATTGATGCATAGTTAGCCGGTGGCGCTGGTAGCGGAAGTCCACAGCCAGGGCATGCATGAACCATAAAAACGCCAGCAGTAGGCAATGTGTGGAAGACGCTGGGAAACTCCATCCATCTACCGATCCTTCAATACGCCATAGATACCGTTGATCCGTTGAGGACGCGACTGGGTCATGTCTGACAATGTCTCGAGCCATTGATGTGGCCCGTCTCAGGGTCCCATCCAGGTAGACGACAGTGACCAGCGCAGCTGAGTTTTCTAGTAATGGCTTACATACTTCGCTGCTAGGTCATTGTTTGACCGTCTCTGGCACTCTTCCACCCTTCACTTCCTAAACAAGAAACAATGCAATCCGTGGAATAAATTCTGTATACACATTGTCACTTTCGCAACCTGGAGAGGCATGACCCTCGGGGTGAACCAGATGCTTTTGATTGTATTTTCTATCTTGAGTATTTTGAAGTCAGCTGCAGTCCTCTGTTGGCGACAGGCAACCTGTACTTGAGGACACAATTTGTTGTCTGAACCCGTAGTGCAGCCAGTAAGATGATCTTATACATGCCACTTTGACTCGGTACGATCCAGGATCCTGCTGCGGTGTTGTTGAAAAGTGGACGATACCTGCAGGGTAGTGATGAAGGTTCCACGTTGTCATGTCCCGGCTTCTAACGTTTAGAGAGTTGGGTGGGTCTTTGAGCCTCAAACTTTCAGCTTCTGACTTGGTGGGCTCGTACAGGGCATGTGGTCCAGTGGAAGCGTCATAACATAAAGGAATTTCGCAATGTCACAGAGTGATGGAAGGTTTTTCACGAGCGATGCAACCAGCTCTACAGAGACTACAATCAAGTGCTTCTACGTCTAGGTGCGGTCTGCAACGAGGCAGACCTATAAATTTTAGACAATAAAGCCAGTGTAACTCCTCACTTACCGGTAATGTTATCCACCTGATTACCAGGAGTTGGTGCATATTCTCAGCTGAACGATGGAGACTAACTACAGGACTATCGAACCATTCATAATCAATAATTTACAGAAATGATGGGTAGACATTTTAACACCAGTCCTTACCTTCGCCTCACCCATCGCAATGTAGGGAGGTAGAGCGGGTGTATAGACATTCAGCTGTTCTAGCAGAGGATCAGCTGCGGCACACGGAGCACCACTCAAGCGTTCCCAGGCTGCAGTACTCACCAGAAGCGGTCGAGACGGCCACACTTGAATGCTTGCCAATTCCGTGGGGGAGCCAGACTGCACTGCATTGGCATACATAGCCCCGGTAGTGGCGGCCGAGGCCGAAGCGGAAATCGGATCGAAAGCTGCGTTTGTGGCACTTCCACTCACAAGCGGTATCGTCTGAGATAACATGTTTGTGTTGAGATTGGAAAACAAAGATTAAGGGATCATTTATATCTAGCAACAGCAATCCGGCGCCGAATAAAGCGCCACGGTCGAACATACAACGGCATTGAAAACCAAACTCCACAAATTCGCGAGAGAGAGGGAATGAACCCAACAGCTGCGACGGTTGAGTAAAAATGGACCCACTTAGTACAGCTGGACAAGAACTGCTAGGCAAAGGATTCAACTTTAACACTGGGAACACATCCCACATACCACAGAGCTGAGGAAGAAAGCAAGCATTAGATTCAGAGCATTTCGTAACAATACATCTCCGAGGAACTCTTGGCGAGAGGCTAGATGGAGCGGATATCTCGACACCAAGAACACACGACCAGGTGGAAATCTTGTATAAAGGACACACGAACGCACGGCAAGGTTATTAGTTTGGCAAGAAATCGTCGTAGCCCACAGATGGTGTGCTACTCTACGGAAACTGATGTGAATACCGAACGATAACACCGACAGGACTAAGGGGAATAACGTGATATGCCAACGGAAACAAATTACATTTATAGATGAGGACAAGAGGAGCACAAATCTCGTTCGGAAAACGGAAAACCTTGGCAAACGGAAACATGGGACAAGAGAATTTTCGGGAACATGGCACTCCCTGACGAGTTCGATTAGCCGGTATGTTGAACGAGATTCGATTTAGATCCCAATAGGTGCAAAGTACCTACGCCTCAACCAGAACACTGAAAAAAGAACCGACTATCGAAGTAAATGTCAAGAAAAATAAACTTGGAGTCATACCAACATCGGATACAGAGTGGAACCAAGATACATCCGGGTGAGTACACACTTGAGTACCAACCAAAGCACAAGATGAGGTGGGGGGGGGGCGAGCCCAAAGTTCAAGTGATCACAACCAATCAGGATGTAAGATAGCAGATCAATAAAGCCACCCACCAATCATAACAAGAGTTCAGTCCCAGCTAGCACCATGTAACACACATCACTACTCCACGCAGCAACAGAACTGCTTCGATGAGATTGAAAACACAAGCATGAGGGGGTTTGAGATTTACACACGACAATCGATTATGCTACGAATTTCTGTTGTTTCTGACAGTCACTCTTTCATTAGAAGCAGGAACCTAGGTTTTCATACAAAAATGAATTCATGAAACTCCATCCAACGAGTACATAAAAACGATACGTTGAAAGTGTCTTGGTCAAAATCAAAGTGTGGCACTATGATTGAAAGTATATTAGGCACAAGCGGAATTTCTACTGAAGAGCCCAGTTCAATCGTGCAGAATCGAAACAGGTGAATGGGATACATAAGCCCTGTAATACGGAAGGCAAAACAGTACACAGCTGTAGCAGAGATGCTATTGCGAGATGGTTGGCTAGGGCACGAACTTACTGACCTCAAGGTCCGTGGTTCGAACCTGACCACTGCCCCTCGACTTCCCCTGTCTAGGCTTGAGCAACCTGAAAGTAACTCAGCCCTCGGGCTTTCTTCGGGTGGCATAGCAGCTAGGCACCGAGAGGGTGTTACGGATGAATGATTGTCATTCCTGTGGTGTCGCGCATGAGAACTTCATGATGGTGATGATGATGACGATCGACAACATGCATTGCTTTACATATTGAATTTGGTCATTTATCAATTTCATATGTGCTGCGCCTAACTATAAAAAACCAAACGTGTTCCCAGATTAGTAAGATGACATTTTCGGGTTCGATGGTATTGACCTGTCGATGAACATTTCCCGTTCTATGGGGCCAATAACCGAAGAGTGGCTAAATCTATACACAGTAGCGCATTTTTAAATGAATCACTGAGCATTCGATTAGATTGTCTTCATTTTTATCGTCCCAACAGTACCATGCCAATCGAGCGGAACTCGTTGTTCGTTCCGATTCCTTGTAGACTTGGAAAATGAGTTTCTCTCCCGGAAAAATTCATTTCTAAATCACACGCATTTGACGAACAAAACCCTATCCTACTGCCCAACTAGGTAGAATTCTACTCCGGGTGAAAACTACCGATCTAGGAGAACAGGAAAGAATTATTACTGTGTCACCCGTTCTCTGTTTTAACTACTCCATAAAAAGTTTTATTGTTAGCTCCCTATGAATGGGTAACCGTTGTGTTAACCATTGTTCGGTACACCAGGTTATATTGGAAGCCTGTTCAACAAGACAGGTCACAGCTTAGGCAACCAGTCTAGATTCTTGCGATCGTACAACATGAGTCGCTATAAAAAGTTGGTTGGATAGAATCGACCAACAATCACAGTCCAACCATTCAACAACAATTGGTTCGGTTGACGATCGGAAAGGAACAGCATAAAAAAATCGGAACCACACTGGATCATGCAACAAAGAACAAGTCCAACTAGGACAGTGGGAGAAGATCCTAAAGGGAGGACGGGGAAAACAGACGGGAGATTACCTGCCTACTCCAAAAATAGGCACTCTGCATAGTGTCCGTTCCGCCAATCATGTCAGGTAAATGTTCCAATCCAGACGCGTATTGAACGTTCAAAAGACCACGATAAGTTTGACTGATTTGCCCGCCATGTCCAAAAATCCAGCTTTCTGAACCTAGAACACAGGAAAAGCTGATAAGAATCGGGAACGAAAAGTGCGATATACAGCTGAGAGAATTGTTCGAAACTGCAGTTTAGTGGTGCATTAAATCATGGTATTGTAATCGATCAGTATGAAGGCTGGTAAGACGCCAAGGTCCCCTCAATGGGATTCGAATGATAAGATCCCTCAAAATGGGGAGAGTCACACTTGTTCTTCAGTGGAAGCGATTCGGTATGTTTACTGCGATGAGCAAGCGGATCATCATCATCATCATAGACAACATGATATCAGTGTTCAACACCGATGCTTCGCTGCAGGAAATACACGAGAGATGAATAATGCGATTGATAGCACCCAAGTCCATCACTGTGGATCGCAACACCGAGCGTTCAAACTGATGAGTTACCACTGCACAAAGCCTTCCCATAAAAGCCCTGAGGCGAAAAAAGGGAAGGTGAACAGGAAGGAGAATCAGTGATGGCGTACCGAAGTCGTTTTGAGGTGCCTAATTCCAAGCGCCCAGTCAGATAATTGGGTCAGTGACCGAGGGCATGAATACCACTGACACGAATTAACTGTCACATCTTACGTGTCCACTTGAAGAGAGTGACGAGAATCCCCCTCGGTGGTGGATAACGCCAGTGTTTATCGTCGGTCCGTTTTAGTTTATAGCTGCGCCCAAACTTTTCGTTATCTCTGTCATTCCGCATGATTACCTATCAGTTTGCACCACTAAGCGGGATTCAGATGACGATTTAACGGGAGTAGTATACAGCCGAGCAATCGGAATTTGTATTGCTAGATTTTGTCTGCGACTGAGGCCCCTACTGGACAGCTTAACGTCCTTTTTCTAGTTGTCTTTTAAGTACTGGCTGACTACGTCCACTATGGGCAGCAGTTTCGAGACATCGATGGTCAAAGAACTCGAGATGTCTGAGATCAAACACCCTAAAAGATTGTCTCGTAACGACGCAAGCAGTCAGTTCAAACGTAACATTGTGGACTCCATGACATGTCTTTTTGACCCCACAAGTCGAACGAATTGGGCGAACATGGCTCCAGCCTTTAAGCTTCGCGCACCAGTCTCATCAAACCATTTCGTACAACTGCCAGTTGTTGTCGAGTTTCAAGGAGCACATTAGAAGAGTGTAGACACTCAATCATAATTCCGCAAGTCATAAGTGCAAAGTTTTGGAGTTCAGTTTGTTCAATGATGATTGCACCATGGAACAGATCGACAGGGTTGCGGCCGGCAAAGATTCCAACATCAGGTTGTTAAAGTCCCTTGGAGGCTTGTACCATCATTCCATTAATGACGAACTTAAACAGGGTTGTAGGGCGTGGATGTTCAGATTTTCGTCAAGTTTTTCGAGATTTCCCAAACTCCATGAGTCAAGCTCCAATAGACAGAGCTGAACGTGTTATTGAAGATAAGGGACATCAAAATTGTAAGCTGTCTGTGTACTTAGGACTGTTATGGTGAACACTGAAATTTGAAGACCTGGTGCCATTTGGGTTCAAGATTTTTTGACGAGGAATCAATGACTTCAAAAGCCTTGTTACAAATGAACTCGGACCATCCACTTTGTAGCTACTAGTACGTTGACCGCCGGTAGCTACTTTGAACACGGGTACTACTATCGACCTAACCCAGTTGACTGAAATGACTTCTTTATTCAAGATGAAGGCAAGTAACCTAGCGCCCGAGTGAGGAATTTAGGGATGTTTCCGAATTAAGTAAACGGAATTTCGTGAGGGTAGAAAATCTCAGTGGATTGAATAATTCAGCATACTCATCACGTAAGCCCGAAGCTGAAGATGATCCCGTTACACAGTGGCTTCATAGGTTGTAAGCAGCGGTTGGCCAACTGCTGTTGTATGTAGCTCTGAATAGTTTTCTTCTTGAAAACCAATGAGCGCGTGTTTAGCTTTTCTTTGACTTTTTGATCTGAAGATACGTTCATTTTGTGTGGCGTCCCATAATGGGTCAAGTTCAGCTGTACTTGCGAGTGGAGGGAATCTGACTCTGCTAACAGAACCTAATCAGAGTCGAAGGTTGAACGTTGTTGAACGGGCTGTAATGGGAGAGGAGTCGCGTTGTCCAGTACTAATTTGAGCAACTCGTTCTCATGATAGTTCAAATCACAAATCTGGTCGGCTGGTAAGCTTCGGAAATTGTGGCCCATATACCTTCTGTTCGATTTTGGGATCCATGAGCATCCCAAAGGATGACTCGGGCATTCGAACCTTACGTTGAAGAAGAGCAACAAACACAGTTGCGATGGGAATTCAGAAAGGCATTTCCGAAAGAGCTGTAGGCAGTGGTTGACGCACACTCTCGGTAACGGATGGCAACGCGGTCTATGTTGGTCCAAAGCTAGTATGCGTCATCAGCACCGTTTTCTGTTGTCTGTACAATTCAAGACCTCCACCTAACTGAGAGCCAGCACCGTAAAGACGACGTACTTGCACATCTATATGACCAGCGAACACAATGACTTTTGAGCTTTCAGCCTGTTGGAACTGCCTGTGGCAGGCTTACTGGGAGAAATACCAAACGAAGAGCTACGGATAATCGGTATCCGAAATCGGCGTGGCTAATTGGTTAACTGAAATTCTTTCAACCATGCATAGCGGTAGCCACCAGAAAGAGATAGATTCATCGAGTGAATCAAGAAAAGTTCACATTAGTCCCAGAAAACCGCATCTGGCGAGTAACGATGACACATTGAAACGCAATCGCATAAAGTGATGAAATTGGAACTTTTCACTTTACCAGTGAATAAGGAAAATGGAAGATTCAGAGGTGCCCGGTGGAGAAACTGGCTTAACAGAGTTCAGCAGAAAAAACTTGTCAGTTATCAGAAGTAATTGTGCCCACGTGGAAGGGAACCAGCGGCAAAAAAAGGATTCACCCTACCTGGTTGCCTATTTGGCATATCTGAGAATCACGTAACACACGCTGCCCGTTGCCGCTCCGACTATTTTACTCGGCTAGACAATGAACAAAATGAACGCCACTAGGCGTTTACAGCCAAATAATGAGGTCAGCTAACCGTCCATCCAACATTCTCGAGCCAGCAGTGGTGCAGCGGTTACACTTGACCATAGTTGGTCGAACTAGTGTGCATCTTTCGCAAACTCTCGGAAAGCCTGAGTAACAAGAGAAAAGGAAAATCGATTACATTCCCGGGGTAGTATGAAATGGTTCTTAGAATACTTTTGTTTGTTACCAGATTGCTGCAAGGAATAAAAGAATATCTGTTCTAGAAGTAATACACTTCTCATAAGGTTACGGAAAATTCTTCGACAGCCCACGACCGGTTTTGCCCTTCTGCTTTGGGCTCATCAGGTAGGCGCAGGCCCCCGAGTTTCCGTCAACCCAAATTGCACGAAATTAGCAAAAGGCACTCATTTGCAAACAAATTTGTTTTTTTTTTGCGACAGACTCACCTGGAACCCAGTTAAAAGAGCCAAATTTATGTGCAAATGAGTGTATTTCGCAAATATGTTCTAGTTTTAGGATGTTAGATTAGTCTCACTCTACACAAGATCCCGGTCACGATGGGGAACACGAGTTCCGGACAAATACTCGTTCCGATATCGCTTCTAGTGAGAGCGGTATGATAAACAGACAATGGGTCAGCTCCCGAATATCCCGACGCCTACTTTAAAACCCGCACCGTGGACAGGCATCACCACAACGCGAGTGGGTGATAGATATAAAAAGTACAACACCCTTAATGGCGCTGCGATGACCGTCATGATAGTAGCTCTCCTAGAGAGCATAATTATAGGGTCTCACATCGGGAACCACAACAACAGGCATATCGGTCCCATTAGATAAGAAACGAACAAAAAAACAGCGGTGAGGCGGAACAAACCCTCCTGAACTGGTCGCCGCGATACATCAGTGTCTTCCAGGTGATCGCCCTTCGTCGACGTTGGAAGCACGAGAGCAGNACAAACCCTGCTGAACTGGTCGCCGCGATACATCAGTGTCTTCCAGGTGATCGCCCTTCGTCGACGTTGGAAGCACGAGAGCAGCAGAGAAACGATCCGGGGTCAATGGGCGACCTTGATAGAGCAGACTCCAATAGAGACGATAAATTGGACGACTGGATGCTGGTTGAACGTGGCACAAGAATTCGCCTTGTTTTGGCCATTCAGGAGTAAGCGGGAAATCCAGACGTAAGCCTTGTGATTCACAATGAGAAGGGAGAAAACACGACAAATGGAGTTGGGAATTATGTCTCTCTTGTATAGAAAATGGTGAACAGATTTCAGTTTCTGCTTACTTGGGTGTTTTTTCGATTGAGCCATGCTTTTGCACACCGAGTGGGTGACTCCGCCTGGATTCACTTACACGAGAACACAGTTCAAGTCGAAAAGGCTTGAATCGCACTGCGGTAATGTACACATATGCCTTGTCGCTTAACTACGGACGATAAAAACGGCAATTTGCAGCCAAAATGGCATCGTCTTTAAGTGAGCTTCAAAGTCCACGCACCTTAACTGTAACACCCTTACAGTGCCTAACTGTCATGCCACCCGAAGGAAGCACGAGGGCTGGGATACTGCCAGGTTGCCCAAGTCTAAACAAGGGAAGTCCAGAGGCAGAGGTCAGGTTCGAGCCACAAACCTTCTGGTCAGTAAATTCGCGCTCTAACCACTTGAGGCATCTTGCCCCTTGAGCTCCGCTAGCACAGGATACTGTAATACGAAACGGTTTCAAAACGGACGACCGTCTGAAATAACAGCGCACAACCCAAACTGTTAGGTGATCCTTATATGAGGAACCTATTGAAGAAGAATAATGAGATATGTCACATACAGAGATGCGAAACTATCCCTCTGCAAAGTTCATCGAAATACTACAGGTCGGTCAGTGGCGTTAACGATATGTGTGGTACGTTGTTTATCAATGAGACTGCATACAACTCAAAAGTCGGAGACATGTCCACGCGAAGTAGATGCAAAACAGCTAAAATTAGCGTAAAACAGAAAAGAACCACTAGCATGATGCGAAACCGAAACATAAATCCGATTCGATTAGGAAGAGGGAGTGATAATTCGGAGGAACTAAGCATCAACACAAAGACAGATCAGCTTATCGCTCAACGCAGGTGGAGATGACGTTATCCTGGAAAATATCGTTAAAGAGAGCGCAGGAGGAGAGCACTGTTTCGAACCAGTAAAGACCAGCTGCCCAGTTCAAAACCCCACTCCATGCGTGTACCCCCACACTGTTTATTTCCTCAGACGCGAATGCATCGGCATAATCCGTTCGTGTTTTGGCTATTCTAACTGCAACGCATTTTGGAATCCCTCAACAGTTGTGCTCACGGAAAAAAACATACTTTGACCTAAGTTATTAGGATACTGAAACAAAACTTTCTGGGTTCTCTATCCGGCCGCCGACGTACGGCCTTCCCTAGTAGAAACACCTTCGGGGAATTGGGTTTAGAAATGGCTCGTCGACATGGCGGTTTAGTTGTGATTGACCAATAAGAATTGGATCACAAACTCTGCGCTGGAGTAACTGAAATTAATTTGCGCTCGGTGTCTTAAGTAATTGTTTAGTACTGATAATCGAATCGTTCAGTAGCAGCACCCTTTCGGTCCCCAACTGCCATGCCACACGAAAGTCGCACGAAGGCTGAGATACTTCCACACAGCCTAAGCCTAGACAGGGGAAGTCGAGAGGCAGAGGTCAGGTTCGAACCACAGACCTTCCGGTCAGTAAATTCGCGCCCTAAACACTTGGGCTATCTCGCCCTCTGATCAGTACTACTGCAGATCGACTACCGAGGAAGCGAGAAACTGGTCATCTGCCGATAAAGTGATTCGTGACGAATCAGTGCTTTTCCTCACCTCAACAAACTCGAACAATAATACGATTGGCAATCAAGAAAAAAAACATCACGTGGAAGAAAGGACAACGGTAACTATTGGAAACTCGACTACCATCACAGATCTGCCCAGTCGTTTTATCCTATCGTGTGACTTTGTCACCTGAAATCGGGACAGCGGCCGAAAACTTTACACAGAGTTGTGCAGTGTATTTAATCAAGACATAATCAAGTCAGTGTACCAGCCAGGCTTATGACGTAACCGAAAATCGATCGATAAATTCCGACCGACGATATGGATCACTCTTAGTGTATAATCTTCTCCTTGGGAGAGAATCCACAATTAGCGCAACGATCTTGTGTGGCGGTTGCAGAAAATCGGTTCCCTTAAATTGCCCTGGAGCCGCAAAAATAGTATCCTCGGTGAGTAGCGTGCCACTGCATCACTGTCTATTGGATACAACCACATGAAATCACGATCTTGACATTCTGCGTACGCGTGTCTTTTCAACACGTGAGAAGCCAGACATACTGAAAAATAAGTTTCCTATACAGCAAGACAGGTTAGAAGCTTTTTTGCATATGAGCAGTTGTGCTGGTGTAACGGTGGATACTACTGATGGAAGCATGCGAGTAGTATGTTTTCTCGCGAATCCGCTTCGCGTCTCTCGAAAAGTGAGATCTATTACAGAGCTTGTGGAGTTGCATTTGCTTGCATTTGAGCAACAGTTAATGAATATCTAGGACAGTTCAGGAAGACGCGCTCAAGGATATTCAGTTTTTGTAAACAAGATGCATATGAGAGTTTTGCTCTCCTGTCCAATAGTCTGTAACCGTTCAGTTAGCGTTTTCTGATAACTCCGCAGCGAAGGCCTTCTTACTTTCACTGACAGCCAGTACACTACGAAGAACATCTTAGATAGCCAAGTGATTTAGGTCCGGTGTGCGGTACTCACAAAAGATAAGATGATCCAAATATCACTGACTGTCTCAGTGCTGAGCGATCCCCCAATACAACTGAATAAGACTGTTTTTGAGAAGGGACACTATAATCCCAAAATAATTATGACAGGAATATGGGAGGTTGTTAGCTGATTGATAAGGCACACGTATACATCGAGCGTAATGGAAAGTTCGTAAGAAATTCATCGCTGGAGACTTTAAATTTTGGAATAGAAATCAAGATACAACAACTAGACTGGCATCACCAAGACGTACGGGAAAAGTTAACAACATACCGTAGCTACACAACTGCATGTGACATCGGTGGGCCGAGTATTTGTCACAGACATCGCTGCAGTTATCCCGTGCGCAACAGTCAAAGCAGATTTCTAATCGTGGAGAACGACCATTATCAGCAGGATTCGAGGTCGGCTTGCATGTTAGCGAATTGCTCTTCAACTCTTCAGCACAAGCGGCCAAGCATTGTTGACAGTCGGCTTTGAGTTGACCACATCTGTGACCAAAGTGAGGGAGGCATGGTGGGCACCGTGAATAAACAGGAAAATGACAGGTGTTGTCTAAGTGTGATGGAACATGAGTGAATGGAATGGACAAATGCGCATACAACAAACTTCATTGCCCTTAATCACACCTACATTCGCCCCTCTCATCGAGCCTCATCCTACCAAACAAAACCAGAAATCTGTGACGGAAACGAAGAACGTACAACTGTTTCTCTTCGAAGTAAATCGACCTTGGGGTAGCCAATTCGGTGTTCCAATGAGAACCAAAGATGGCTGGTAAGCGAGAAGGCTCCAGACAGGCAACCACAGGAATAGTCGCTGCCGAGAGATCACCCGATTTTGTGGGATTCCCGGGACCACCGAATGATTGCGCAGATTCGGCCGCATGAAACGGACTGACCTCCACTGGGGGGAAGTAACCATGTCGTCTGTAGGTGCGACAGCCGGAAAGTACCGGTCTATGCCCAGGAAGACTAGCATCTGGGACAGTTGATGTGGTGACATTCTATGGATCGAATAAAGAGGAAAAACGATGAACAAAATTGTTGAATGGAGAGCAAGAATGACGGTAGCCGCAGCTTCCATTAAAAACGGAACCACTCACTCGATGCGCTCGGATGCCGAGACGATATAGTGGAGGTACTGGAAAAGGACACAACTTTGAAAGCGTATTGTTAGCCTTCAATGTATATGCTTGCATGGGATGGTACTGACCGGTGGCCGAGGACCACCGGTATGAGTCCGTCTCGGTCGACGAGTGATCTAGCACCCTGGCAGATGCTAGGAACAAGCTGTTGTCGTTACCACTAGAGTGGTCAACTGGTCCAAGGACAGGAAGCAAATTTAGACTGTCAAAGTCCAACCGAACCTACAAATGGCAGGAGAGATTGAAAAAAGGGAAACCAATTCCTCAAAACCGAATATGTGATGAAAAAACTACAAGAGATCGATCGATTACCATCGACATATGAGTGTTGGTCAAGTCTTCCAGGGGACCAGCACTGACATATAACCTACAGATAAGCCATAACGCTAATCTTAGATAGAAGACGAAGAAGTCTGGTGAGCCTTAAGTACAGCTTAGCTAAGTCCCCCAACACGAACGGGCCGCTTGCAAAAGCCACATATGCCCTTTGGAAAGGTGTCATGACCAGATAGACCTGCACATTGTATAGGTTCCTACACCTAAGCGAAATCGGGCTTGCCGATCATCAGTGTGAAAAATGAAGATGGGTTTCAGCATTGGTACCCTTTCGGCGCATGACCACCGCTCAGCTCGGAGGCATGAGGTCTAAGATATTGCTAGATATTGTCTGGAAAGGGGGTGAGATGAACTAATTGGTTAGATCGCGAATTTACTGACCGGGAAGTAAGTGGTTCGAACCCGACCTCTGCCTCTCGACTTTCTCCGTCTAGGCTTGGGCAACCTGGCAGTATCCCAGCCCTCGTGCTTCCTTCGTGTGGCATGGCAGTTAGGCACCGAAAGGGTGCTACAGCTGAACGATTATTGTTGTTATTGTCTAGAAAGGAGCAGTCGAGAGGCCCGGTTAAGGTTTGAATCACAACAGGGCAGTAATTTCGTGATTTAACAGTCAAGCTATCACAAATTCAGTAATCAGCGTACCTGTCGTCAGGCACAAAGATGATGATAGCAGGCAGTGTGAAGAAGATTCATTGGGTTTCCTGACCACAGTCTACCAGTTTACCTGTCCCCCCTCCTGAAACGAGTAGCGTAGCAATGAGTATCCCTCAGATAGTATCAGAACGATTATGTTAGAAATAGAGGCATTCAATAGGATACACTGCTTACTGGTAGCGTCACTGTTAAGCCACAATAATTAGGACAGGTGATGCTTTGCAACCGACATTTCGTGTTCGCTCATTTTTCCAGGCCAACATCGATATCAGTGAAGCACAATGAGAGCCGGCTAGCGTGAGGTTCACTGAGAAAAAGGTTCTGAGAAAAAAACGACTGTACACACACACACACACACACCAAAAACCCTCACTTGGTAACCAGATGCTCGGTCTAACACAATGGACTTGTTCAGAGGAAGTCGACTTATATCATCCGGCGTCAAGGTAAGGCTTGTATCCCGAACATGCTGCAGATTTTCGAACCAGACGTTTTTCTTATACGGTACAATCAACTCCGGGATGATAGATTTTCCTAGGACAAAAAGGGAAGAGTTCAGGTCACGGTGTATTGTAACGGTCAAATATTCAAATATGAACAGGTGAGAGCGGGCCCCTGCTGATGACTTACGTTTGCAAATTCTGTTGCTCGAACCCTTGCAAGGTGTGAATTCGAACTCTTCGGAGATGCACAGTGGACGACAAGCTGAATAAAGTGAAGAGCGGAAGAGAAGAGAGTGGCATACAGAGATTTTCACACAAGGAACTTGAACCAGCAGATCCCTTGAACAAAAAGTAAGTAGTAACGAATGAAAACTGAGTTAGGACTCAGTCGGAAGCTGTAGTGCTACAGAACTGCTCACCGAAAGCCGAAGATTGGGAGCTTCAAAGAGACCGAACAATCAATGCTTTGTGATCAGGGAAAAATGCTGTTATATGATTGCGAGACATGGCCTTCGAGGAAAAAATGATGTGAGACTTCTTCAGGTTTTTGACCACCAATGTCTCAGAAGCACTGCTGTTATCCGATAACATCAACGAATTCGTAACGATCTAATTGGGAAATGGATATGCGGTAGTACATCAGGCGGGGCGAGATGGCCCAAGTGGTTAGAGCGCGAATTTACTGACCGGAAGGTCCGTAGTTCGAACCGACTCCCGCCTCTCAACTTCCCCTGTCTAGGCTTGGGCAACCTGGCAGTATCCCAGCCCTCATGTGACCTCCGGGTGACATGGCAGCTGACACCGAAAGGGTGCTACAGCTGAACGATTTTTTAGTACACCAGGCACTTTGAGCGCTGAAAACAGCATCAACTACGTGGGCTCGGTCATGTGATACGCAAGCTGAAACACCATCTACCGAGGCGAATGTTGTTCTCCGTGTCTTCTTCAGAAGGGTGCAAACCGTATGACTTGACAGGAGGGTATGAGAGAGCTTACGAAGAGCTTATATGTTTTTGGTAGGCCTGGCCTTCTCGGATGGGCTTCTCGTGAATCCCCTGCGCTTGACTGGAGACAGTGCCAGAAATGGCAGCTGATTGATGTCATTAGCGTTCGTGCTGTCAATTTCTTACCATTTTGTCTGAAGAGCGCTTGGGCATCTCAGAACAACGGTGACAGCACTCATGGTCTCCTGTAAACGCTTCCGAGGATGATGTGCTGTACTAGATTGCTGCGCCAGATTGGAGGAAATGTGCAGAAACAGCGTGAAGTTACGCGACAGCTCTCAACGATGGCAGTGCAAATGGTTTTTAAGTAGTACATGCAGTGCTGCCCAGCTGTACATTATGGAACGACATCCAGCTTCTTTTCTGGTCTGTGTTGATGGGTGGTACTAACAAGGCGGGATGGCCCAAGTGGTTAAAGCGCGAATTTACTGACCAGAAGGTCTGTGGCTCGAACCCGACCTCTGCCTCACGACTTCCCCTGTTTAGGCTTGGGCAACCTGGCAGTATCCCAGTCCTCGAGCTTAATTCGGGTAGCTTGGCAGCTAGGCACCGGAAGGGTGTTACAGCTGAGAGATGAGAGAATGGGTGGTTAGAACAGAGGGTTCTACTGGCTAGATTAAGTCTATTTAGGAAGCCTCATGTTCCCTTGAGGCGCCAAACGCAACGATAACTTTTGCGTAGACATAAGCGCGGTCAGAAACAAAGTAACAGATCAATTATGGACACTATCTCACGTTGCTTCCACATACTACGGCTCGTGTCTGAGACTGTCACAGGTGACCGAAAGTTTGCACTTGCGAGTTTGTTGTCAGAATGTAAAGTTACGGTTTTTTCCCGTTGTCAGAATGGGACTTATCCAATCCCAACTGTTCTGCAAAAAAGTATCATAAAGTGCTGAATGTCTGACTCCGGGACTCAAATCCCCAGCGAGAACGTGCGATCCGAAAATTTTATTTACAAGACCATACATTCGTCTTAAACCTTACCGAAATCGTGGTATGTCGGAACGTATGGGCGTGCAAATAAACTGTAGTGTTGACATCAAAGTTTTTTTGCACTGCGGGATTTTTTGGATCATGTTTACTGGCCGGAAAATCAGAAAAACTGAATCCGAAAGTGGAGCCCCAGTGCTGCCACTCGATGCTATGTGCCATGACCGTTTGGTTTTCGCGACAGTTAACATATACCATCTCGAGCCTGCCGCCCAAAGTGAAGCTAAAGGTGGTGAGACATATAGGCTCCTCTCTAAAGCAAGCATTACCACATGAAGTTTCCGGATTCCGATCGTTTGTTGGCTGATATGCTCAAGTTTCAATGATGAAAGTGTACGGTTAAAGTCAGTATACGGAAGTGAGCTAGTCAGTGTTCGGAATTGTCACCACCCGGGAACATCCAACCAGATAGACCTACACCTGGGGTGGTCACATACGGAAAATGTGGAAGAGGAGGAACCAATTAAACTAAGTGATTGCCACTGCAGATAGTCAGTAGCCTGGTGCAGTAATAGAATAGCATTGAAAGGTGGATAATACCATGTGACCCTGGCTAAAAAGGGGCGTTCAGCCGTAGCACCGTTTCGGTGCTTGGGTACCACGCCACCCAAAGGAAGCCCGAGGCCGTGGATAGTGCCACGTTGCCCAAGCCTAGACAGGGAAAGTCAAGTGGCAGAGTTCGGGTTCGAACCACGGTCAGCGAATGCGCGCTCTAACCAATGAGCCATCTCAAACCCTGGCTACCAAATAGCCATACCGGGTCAACCAATCATTGTATAGACCATCACATTTACACGTACATAACGGTTCTAATTAGCTGTCCCCTGGTTTATTTGCAATGGCAAATACAGTTGTTCGCAGTTGCTACCTTACGGTTCTACCCTGTCTGCAATGTCCTACGTACGGGGTAGTTTTGCGCTAGACGAAGTGAACCAGTAAGTCAAAGAATCCAGACTTATTTCTTACCTTGACACACACGATCAGAACGTGGACCACACGGTCTTGCTTCATACATTCCCGTAGGGCAGGGACCAGAACAGCCTAAACGAAACAAATAACGGAGAACTTTCATCCAGATGAACGCAATGAGCGCAGCCAGACAAACGTGGAGACAAAAGACGGAGGAATTACATAACACAAGACACTAAAAATGGACGAAAAGCGAATACACGTACGTTTGCATTCAATTGACTGATTCCGTCCACAATCCCCATGGGCCCAGAAACCTTTAGGGCACGTAGTATCACAGTCTGAAACAAACGAAGATAGTATACGGCCAAAATCACGTACGGAAACGGGTCAAACTTCAAGAAGGTCATATCCAAAATGGAAGTAGTTTGAAAGTTTGGAATCCTCGAACTTGTATAAGAGTTTCACGTGATTAGTGGATCCTAATTTAGCACATTTAGTACAGTACAGAGCAGCTTCTATTGTCTTATCAGGTAGGCATGATGCTCGATTGGTTGGAGCACGCCCTGCGTATCACAAATGCACCAAAGGTGGCAGCAACGTTCGTAAGATCAAAGTTTTAGCTAGTACCTCGTTTTACCCCGCAGCTTTCTTACTATGCTTTCGTCGTTACTGATTCTCTAGCGTTGAACTGGCGCATTTGGTCGAGAAAATTTCCAGAGGATCAATAAACTTTACCCCATAAGAGACCAGTTTTTGGAGAACGGATAAACCAATCACATTGGGACTTACAGCCAAACATATTGGTAGTCTGCCAGCTGAGGGATTCTAAACAGCAGCAGGTGGATAGTTAATTGCTTCTGGCGTGAATACCTACCCGGTACACGCGTCAGATATGAGCACATATACTCATGAGTGGAGCCAACAAGTCGCATTAGCATATAGTAAATCAAAACAGCCGGCTTCTGATCAGGAAGTTAATTAGTCCAGGTTCAGCTCCGGCTGTTATTTGTCTGGGTGTGGAAATCTGACCACTTTCAAGCCCTCAAGTCTATTTCAAACTGAACGACAGCTGCGCAATGAAAAGATGACACACATGGAGGACGAAAACTTCGAAAACATTTATTATCAACCATCAAATGAAACGCATCTACTCAACCCACTATGGTGTCCCTTGGTATCAAGCAATGTCTCAGCTGTGATACCCTTCCAGGGCCTAGCTACCATGCTACCCGAAGGAAGCATGAGGGCTGGGATACTGCCAGGTTGCCCAAGCCTGGACAGGGAAAGTCGAGAGGCTGAGGTCGGGTTCGAACCAGTCGGGCCTTTCGGTTAGTAAATTCGCGATCTAACCACTTCAGCCTCCAGGCAATGTTGGAGATTCCTAAAAATTGGGAGATGTTGCGTGTCAGCCCCCATCTGGCTGAGCAAGAACAATATTATTGACCATGTTGCTATCAGGATCCACTAAAGTTAATGTAGAAAGGGTCACTGGGATGTTATCCTTAAAGTTGGATGGTACTCATGCCGCCTAAACTTCTCATGAACTTCGCATGTACTTTTCGTCGAAATCACACGCCGTTAGCCTCACAATGTGCGCCATTCGGAAAGTGACAGAACAGCGACACTCGTCTTGATAGACCATCTGACATGCATGGTCAGGGTCCAGCCGCCAGACATTTTTCGAGAATGAATCACATGCTGTACAAACAAAAATATTCCTTCCGATGACTTAATTACGCACTCACAAGCCATGAGTGTTTGTGTACATCCATTAATCTTTAGGCTGGAAAGTGTACGTGTGATGCTCACAGAGCCCATCCCAAGTTAGTCAGTGGATGGGGGTCTGACTAACACAGCCTCCCGGTTGCGGGTTAGAACGTGTGGCGGCGCGCCCCTAAAAAACGCAGGCTACCGTGATAGTCTTACACCACAAGGCACAGCCTTGAACCAACTCGGTTGATGTGGTCTCTAAAAAATACATGCCAAGTATACATATCTAATCAACACCTTACGGAGATCAGCTGCCGAATCCAACGCATAGCCCTCAGCACAAAATACCAAGGGTGAACGGAGCTGGGGTAGCTAGGCCAAACGGGCAACCTGAGGCCGGATGGGCAATTATCACCAAGACTGCAATCAACCTACCAACCAACCTACGAAAAACTAAGAGAACTATGTTTACTGTTCTTCAGCGTGCTCAACAACATACAATGATCCCGCCACAGAACCCACAACTCACCAAGACAAGGATAGCCAGAGGGGCACAAACAGGTATAATCACCGGGCCGGTTCGTGCACACTCCACCAAGTCGGGTACAGGAACTGCGTAGTTGAGCGCTGGCACATTCATCCACATCCAAACAGATGCGGCCTTTCGCATTTTCCAGGTCGATGTTTCCCAGTCCTTCGAGAATGCAATGGAAACAAAAGGAATTACTGAAACTCGTGGATAAGGAATTAACGCAAGGAATTACCCTCCAGCTCCAATGAATTAAGGGAAGGAAAATCACAGGCCATCCAATAGCGTAGTTATGATCATATTGGTAAGAACGACGAATTGTTTCACGGTAATTTGTATGCTGCCAAATTCGCACGACCCACGTCCCACGAAATTAGTTTGCTTGGAAGGAAATCGCCTCTCGGGGACTCGATCTGAAAGGTTGTGGTGGAGTCAGCCAAGATAAAATAGCATGATGTGGACAGTGAGAGTGACGTTCCGTATTGCACCGTTGCATCTGTTCACCAGTAGCCCATAAACGAATGGTCACGCTTTTGTCTGAAGGTCTCGGGTTAGAGTTTCACGAAACGTTCGCAAATAATCACTGTCGACGGCAGATAACCAGGATAAAGCATATGCGCAATGTTCCTCGGCTTTTTTTGCACACTTTAATCTCACCTGTAGGATTAAATCCACATTTAAAACTCCTTAACGATTGCCGTCAGTGAAAGTGCCCGCTATATACCAAAACGTATCTGGTCATAACTTTATAGGGTGATACGAACGGCTGCTTGTAGCTGAGAGGAAAACACTGTCCACAAAACTGTTTCTACGGTTTCTAGAAACTAGCACGGATATATAAAGTGCAGGCCAATAAAACGTGGGAACGTTGTTTCTCAAAGCACAATTCGTCGAACGAGATAATGATAAAGATGGGGTACCAATAGCTCACGGGACTCACGGTTTCCGTGCAGCAACAGACGATCTCGATCTTTTGGTCCAGCTGGTCGGTAACCGCGCTGACAAATACAATCGTGACGAGCGCCCGGATCACACGAATGCTCACAGGCGTAGCGTTGTCGACATATACGTGTGCCTAGAATCTGATGGGCGTTCGTCGCGTCTAAGTATGGAGACGAAATCGATAGAGAGTGAGATCCCTATTACAACAGGTCTACGAAAGCATGAATTACAGGTAAGTGTAAAGTTCAACTTAACGTTGACCTAGTACATCATTCAACTACTCTAGTAAACCGGATCACAGAACATCCACGTGAAGAGGACACTATGTGATGAACAGTCCCTCCAAGTCACGAAACAATAGCGGCGGGGAAGTACTACCTTCAAGGAACTCGGAGTGGGACCACAACCACCTTTTTGTCCAGAAACTTGGAACAGTTCGTCACTCAAGGTATTTTTTTGCCTGCTTATAAAGGAATCGACTATTACCTGACTCTCCTGATTATTTGAAATGCTCGAACACTGATAGTTGATCTGACTAGCGTTCAAATCCACGACTGTTACGGGAGAGACGACGCTACGGTAAACCGATAATGTACTGACTAATACTGGTCAGACATAAGAAAGTGTTCGCCCATAATCAGCAGACAGACAACCGAGTGAGAACACCCAGAGCAATGCATTCGCAGTCTGAAATCTGCTCCCGATCAGACACAAGAAGCGATTGGCTAAATCTAACTGTTGAGTTACGACTGCCCTTTAGCGACTTTTGATTGGTTATCGATTAATGGCGTTGCCGACACACTCTAATCGTTTATGCACTCGACTGAGTGGACATCTTTGGTTCGAATCGGCTATCTTTTATTCAATTTCCTATGACCTTTCTCTTTCCGAACTTGGTCACTTCAGACTTGCTGTCTATTAATTACGTTATTGTTCTCCATAGAAGGCGTTTGTTCCGATTAAATGTTTTGAGTAACCCAACATTTGACCATTTCATGGAAAATCTACAGCGGCATTTCTCGTCAGCAATAACTCTAAATGGGACTGTCCAGATAACAGCTCAAACACCAGATGATCAATACACTCTATCCAGTGACCGTGTCTTTTAAATGTTTGCCGAATCTCAAGGGACGTGTGTATCAAGCTACAGTACGGGCTATTTTGTTGTATGGATGTGAGACTTGGCCTATTCGAGCAGCGGAACTGAGATATCCTCAAGCGTTCGACAATCGTTGTCTCAGAACCATAGCTCGTGTAGGTTGGTGTCGGCGAATCCGTATTGAGGCAATTAGGGGACTTCCATTGAAGAATGTGCCCAGCAACAGAAGCTGCGTTGGTTGGGACATGTGTTACGTATGACTAACCATCGTCTGCCGAAGAGAGTGCTGTTTTCTATTCCCAACTCAGAGTGGCAAAAACAGGGGTGGCCAACCCTTGACCTTCCAGAGGAGTATGAAGGAGATCACGAAACGCTTGGGTGCTGTCGGTGCTACTCGCCTTCCAGGATGGGAACCACGTGATCCTCACTGTGCCTGGTTTGAAATACCGCATGATATGACTGCCAACCGATGTCAGTAGCGCTCTATCCAGATTGCCTGAGCGAATGTCTGGAGGTGTAAGCTAGAACTAAGTCCCTTTCCGTCCACCTTTATTCTTTTCTTTACAATAAGGCCTTCAAATAAATCATGGTTGTACGGCAGTGAAACATCTGTGTTGAACACTGATGTCATGCTGTCGATGAGGATTTCGAGCAAAAGTTCGCGGCCGAGACTGGAAGCTTAAATGTGAATTAAAACTCTTTGAACGAGGTGGTCCAGGCATCTTTGCATGAAGCCATGGAATTTGGTTGATTCTGAAGGGCATACTGATTAGGTGACTGCCCTCGCGGCTGCACTCCCAGCTAAATTTAGGCATCCGCGTTTTTGTTTGTGTGACATGCCCCATTAATTACTTTGACGTTTACTACCAGTCTGTTGTTTAGGGGATGTGAGGTAACAAGAATCCAGGCATTTGGTGCAAGGAAGAACGGGTTCTGAGCTTTCCCATAAAGTGGAAAAACCATAAGGCGGTCAACAGGGACAATCCAATACGACCGTTCCAGGGAGGGGGATACCGTACAGGGCGTTGTAATTCATAAAACAATAGTGAGTTACAGGTAACGCAACACTCATGCCGGATTTTTAATTGTCAAGCTAATAAACACATACACAGCTAGTCCGGTGCCCCATTAATAAAAGATACTGTGGACACGGACGAAAATGAACAAAGTGAAAAGACGGAGGAACACAAAACAAGAACATTAACGTTCAGCTAGTTAGCCAGTATGTATTGAAATTTATTCACAACTTTCTGTGAACAACTAGACTAGGCAGTCAGTCGATCAACAAACGTACCGTATATGTGAACAACACCTCGTTCGACTCTCGGGGACAACCAAACCTCAGTTCCGCTCGATGCATTCAACCAAAGCTGAATGGAATCCGGTGAACGTCGAGTTCCTTTTTTAATCTCTTGCTTGTCACTGGAGAACTGACGAGGTCGGTTACCGTCCATCTTTGGTATCATATCACGAGGGAGCCAAATGGTGACCCGAACAGTCGGGGAGATATTCGATTTGCTTGTTGACGACAAAATATCAGCACCGGTCGGAGAGAATGGCTTGATTATATTCCAACGTATTGGACGATCGTGGCCTACAATTTGGTCGCCCAACTCTGGGGATCCAAGTGCCACAACCACCAACAGCCAAAGAAAGGTGAGCATTGTGAGAGTGGTGAATCGCAGACTAGAATGGAAAGGTCAAAATCGCAATAAAGTGGGGTTAATAATTATTCGAGCAACGAGAATGCTGTTTACGATAAATGTGTGATAGCGACGGATATTCAACCAAGTTGGTGGTTCCCAAACCTCACAATTCAACCTGCGACAGCAATTTGCATGTTCCCGCATTCCAGGATGACTCGTCTATCCTCAGTAGATTACCAAGCAGGATTTTGTCTGGGTTAGGGGCACCACACAATCACGGTTCTATGAGTTCATTAGAACATAAAAACCCTTTGCATAGTTGAATGACGATAAAAGAGATAGATAGTAGTTAAATGAAAAAAGAATCTTCGGGATACGTCCACGTCAGCCCTCAGATACAAGGCAATATCGACCAATGGACTGGGGTTTAGCTCAGTTCGGATGGGTGAATGTGATAAGTTAGAACAAAAAACAGTCGCATAAGAGATCGGTGCAACTCTAAGTGATATGGACGGGGTACCGAAACTAAGACGCTCACGAGAGGAAATTTGCCCCGCATTGCAAAGCCAAGATGCCAACTGATGCCACTGCTCCTTGTAATACTGAAGTCCGTCATAAACAGAGTGGACTTTACCATGGTGTGATGGATTATGCCTCTAGAAACTGTGGCGTACACTCACAGTCTCTAATACCAGATTGATGACGAACACAGTCTTCTGGTCCTCTATGTTGGGGGTTGAAAAACTCGTGGAGACTTGTTCCATAAAAATTACAATGGACTTGCATTGCCCGCCAAACACTGATGCCTTTCGATCAAGCTTTTGAGTCAAAGGCTTTGGTTGAGGACCGCAATCGTCCTCCTTTCTACGCGTGGGAGCCCTGGCAGTATCCCAGCCCATGTACAACCATAAACTACACACTTACCAATAATCTCATGTCACATGGGCCGTCGCGTGGGGCCATCAGAAGGCACGCCTCACCTGCTACGTAGGGCAAGGTGCGTAGGCGAAACTAGGCTACTTCTGACACTTCACTTGTTTCTTTTTCACCTAAATTTGCTTCCTTCTCCTCAAATCTCACTTCTTGTAGACTCATCAGTTAGGACAGACGACTCTGTTCGTCCTGCATCGGTTTGGGAAGCACATCCTCAGGCAACTCGATAAGCCAGGTCCCTTATCTCATGTTCTCCTTTCTTTTAATTCGCAGTTCGTCTAACGTCTGTGAAGGAGTCTCACAAGCAGAAAACTGATCGCAGCCTGTTTGTCAAGTCTTCTTGCGCAGCTTTGACACTTGCACCTCTGACACCATCAAAGATGCTTTGGTTAAGTCATGCGCATGCCGAACCATCGTTTGCCGGGGAGAGTGCTGTTTTCCGTGCACAACTCAGAGTGGCGGAAGCAGACAGGTGGTCAACCCTTGATCTGGCAGACGGGACAGAAAGAAATCACGAAGTCCGGATTCTGTAGGTGCGATTCGCGTTCCAAGCTGGGGACCACGTGATCCTCACTGAGCCTGGTTGTAGACGCTGCAAAATACGGCTGCTGATCGATGCGCGTTGTGAGTTTCTATCCAGATTGCCTGAATAATTGTCTGGAGGTGTAGGCACTTCGGAATGATACGATAGGCCAAAACCAATTCTCTTTCCCATCCACTTCTATTCTTTTTTTCCAAAATAAGGGTTTCTAATCAACCATGGTTGTGCGACAGCGAAGCATCAGTGCTGAACACTGATCTTATCTTGTCAAGGATGATGAACTCCAAATGACAAGACTTACTGTTTGCTGACTTTCGGTCCAGATCGGTCTGCACTCTTCAAAGCCGACCGCGGATTCGTTCCACCCGAGGGAAGGGTTGCTGAAGAACCAGGAGCAAGCTGAGATGACTGTGTACCACCTTCCACCGAACTAGGGCCATTCTTGGGTGGTCGGCCCAGGCTTGCTGATTTGTAATCAACCGACAATGGTACTTGGGACTGTGCGACAGAGAGAAGTAAATTCAATGATGAATCAACACTTGCCTTACTGGTAGGGCGCGATTATTCGGCTGATAGTCACTGAGTGTAAAGAATAGACCGACAAGCTACTCTGATGTTGAGCGTACGCTTAGCACAGGCTCAACTCTTAGACCTACACTCAAACTTACCTCGGTGGAGGGAACAGTCAACAGATCCAAGGATTGCTCCGTGGTTCTGGGTTGAGAATCCGCACAAATCCCGTTCGTACCTGTCACATTTTGTCGCGGCATCAAACTGACTCCACGTTTAGGTGGATTTGGACCGAACTAAAGCGAATGACGAGAAGGAAATGGTATTAGGTTGAGCCGATTTTTTTTCGAACCGTGCTTACTCAGAGAAGACAACTTACGCGGTTGCGACCCAGGGTTGTCACATTGTCAGCGGTTATTGTGGAGAACTGACAGGTGTCGGTAGATGTGGTGGTCGTGAACAGTGCAGGAACATCGGGTATGCCAGAACCACTGCCAATGGAGTAGTCGTCACTTGTTGTTGTTTTGGTGGTGGCGGTAGTAGAAGGGATACTCTTATACGATCCAACCTCCAAGGCTAGTGCAACATTTGCAGGACTGACTCGACCTTGAATAGAATAACGGGGCAAGAAATGAATGGAAGCAATCATCTCATGAGAGTTATGGAAAATCTGTTTACAGGCGAGTCCAAGGATTCGAGTGAAATTGGAGTGAATCAGATAGACCTACACCATCACACCACCAAAACATGAACCTAGAAACTCACGCCACAAGTAGCCCGATGAAGCGTGATCTGTGCCGCGACCTGGTCTGGTTGCACTTTTTGCGCATGGTACTGTTGGATAAGCATCGACGCTTGTGAGCGTCCTCGTTGTGAGGTGGAGTGCTAGAAACGCTGAACTGTTCAAAGCATTTGAGAGCGTGGCACAATTGTGACTGAGTGGGCGACCTACAACCAAGAAGTACCCTGTAATCGATAACGTTTAAAGCCGGGGATTTGGCGCTTTTGCTCAACGACTCGTAATTCCTTAGAGTGATATAGGACTTATGGGGTGGACAAAACTCGCCGGCAGTCCACTATCGGTCTGCAGCCCACCAGCTAAGCGAAGTAGCACAACAAGAAATAAGGGGCTAAATGCTGTCAGACACGAAACGGTTTTTTTAGAACTGAATATACTTAAGCGTCGCCTTGAACTTTTCTAAACGTTTTCTAAATATAAGACAATAATGAACAAGCGCTGCAAATCGGCCCCGTATGAAATTTCCATCAGATGAAGGGACATTTGACCTGACACCACTCACAGGCTTTATCAGAAGTATACACCGCATACAACCCAGCACGAGTACCAGCTATTGTTTTCGGTAATGAACTTCACGGGGGGGAGATGGCTCAGTGGTCAGTAAGTGCAGTTCGAACACGACCTCTGCCTCTCGACTTCCCTGTCTAGGCTTGAGGGACCTGACAGTACCCCAGCCCTCGTGCTTCCTTCTGGTGGCATGACAGTTAAGCACCGGTTACAGCTGGACGGTTTTTTTACGAATGAACTTCACAAAATGTGATCGACAACAGCCACGAGGAACGCAGTATTGCACTGCTGAGCCATATAATACTTTGGGAAAGCAGGACGAAAACAGCCGCTCTGAAATGAAGAACACTGCCCGCACCAACTGAATCGCGGAGCTTAACGAACAACAATCATCACACGAAGAGTAAGTCGGGGATAGCGAAGACAGCAAGTCACCACAAACAAAACGACGGGAAGTGTGAATTCGGATGCTATTTTCTTCGGTTGTGTAACATCGATCGGTCGACCGCGCCTAGCCAATTACATTTAATAAGCACTCCCCAGTTACGACTTCTCAGTTAGTGAGAAGACTACTGGATTGATGCATCATTCTTGCTTATCAAGCACTTCGACACTACGACAGTCTTCCCGGCCCCTTCACGCAATGTATACATCACCCCACTCGGGTCGAGCTCGTCGTGACAGTACGCAGCAAATTTTGAAATGAACTGTTATCCCCAGATGTGATACACTGCGATCCCGCTTCTGTGGGACGTTGATGCGAAAGAAAGCACATCCTAAAATAGACTAGAAGCAGACGCGAGTGCCAGTGCCTTACATTTTTTATGGAGTTGTCAATAGGATAAAAAAGGTAATGGCAAGTCATCGACCACCAGTAAAACGGAGAAAAAACAAACAGGGCATATTGTCAATTTCGTCGCACCTAGGTTTTGCAAGAACTGGTGTAACCACTGAGTTGAGGGAAACGTTGAAATGAAGGGTGCTAGGTTTTGCAAGAACTGGTGTAACCACTGAGTTGAGGGAAACGTTGAAAATTGAGGGTGAGTATGAACGAAAAAATAGTTAAAAACGCGCCTTGATTAACCAATATCTTCTTCTGTGTTCCCGAACGTTTTTGGTGAGCAGAGGGCAGACCCTGTCCCAAGGTGGAACCGCCAGGTTGCGGTTCACCGCTCGTTGTACTCATGGTCTCCGTCGCAGTCGGTACACTCGCAATGGTATCGCTCATGGGAGCATGCTCGTCCGCATTTTGCTGATGGCAAAACAAATAGCTATGCTGAGGACACGAAGCCATTTCGGCTATCAGTGCAGAAGATACGTTGAACGGGTTTGCGCCGCTTGAGTTCGCGAGTCCCGTGAACAGGGTGGACAATGGCAACATTGAGGAGTTTGGAGGCGAAAACTTGGGTATTGAGGAGGAAGAAGAAGGGGATGGGGTAAAAATAAAGTTTAATTAGATACATAAAGATCCAGGTATGAGTTTAGATTCGAAAAAATACTGTAAGTCGATGAGTAGTTAGACAAGTTGGCCTGGATATAAGGCAAAATTAGCACTGATGGTTCCCGAAAAAGGCACACTATCCGCAGCTATTCTAGAATGCGATTACAGATATCCATGGCAGCGGATATCTTCGGTGGATTACGTCAGTTCAATGGGGAAACTATTGTGAACTACGATAAGAGTAGAATGATGAACTTAGTAGAATCGAGAGCGGTGGCTGGCCTCATTATCAGTCAGATCGAACCAAAAGAAACGGAGGTAAAAAAGAGCGGATTTGACATAGCGGTGACCAGATAATCAGCAAACATCAAATTTGCCGGACTTGGATTCCGAATGGCTATGAGACGCTTACCTAAGAATTCGATTAAGTTAAGCGGGCTTGGGATTTGTTGTTAACGTGCATTGTTAGCTGAGATGGGGGCGAGACGGCTAAGTGGTCAGAGGGTGAATTTACTGACCGGAAGGTCCGTGGTTCGAATCCGACCTCTGCACCTCGACTTCTTCTGTCCAGGCATGAGCAATCTGGCAGTATCCCAGACCTCGCACTTCCTTCGGGCAGCTAGGCATCGAAAGGCTGTTACAGCTGAACGATGTGATGTATGTAGCTGGGATGAATTGGTTGGTAGTAGACCAGGTGGCTGTTGATCGGTTCGCCGAGCTTGGCAAAGNCAGGTTGCGGTTCACCGCTCGTTGTACTCATGGTCTCCGTCGCAGTCGGTACACTCGCAATGGTATCGCTCATGGGAGCATGCTCGTCCGCATTTTGCTGATGGCAAAACAAATAGCTATGCTGAGGACACGAAGCCATTTCGGCTATCAGTGCAGAAGATACGTTGAACGGGTTTGCGCCGCTTGAGTTCGCGAGTCCCGTGAACAGGGTGGACAATGGCAACATTGAGGAGTTTGGAGGCGAAAACTTGGGTATTGAGGAGGAAGAAGAAGGGGATGGGGTAAAAATAAAGTTTAATTAGATACATAAAGATCCAGGTATGAGTTTAGATTCGAAAAAATACTGTAAGTCGATGAGTAGTTAGACAAGTTGGCCTGGATATAAGGCAAAATTAGCACTGATGGTTCCCGAAAAAGGCACACTATCCGCAGCTATTCTAGAATGCGATTACAGATATCCATGGCAGCGGATATCTTCGGTGGATTACGTCAGTTCAATGGGGAAACTATTGTGAACTACGATAAGAGTAGAATGATGAACTTAGTAGAATCGAGAGCGGTGGCTGGCCTCATTATCAGTCAGATCGAACCAAAAGAAACGGAGGTAAAAAAGAGCGGATTTGACATAGCGGTGACCAGATAATCAGCAAACATCAAATTTGCCGGACTTGGATTCCGAATGGCTATGAGACGCTTACCTAAGAATTCGATTAAGTTAAGCGGGCTTGGGATTTGTTGTTAACGTGCATTGTTAGCTGAGATGGGGGCGAGACGGCTAAGTGGTCAGAGGGTGAATTTACTGACCGGAAGGTCCGTGGTTCGAATCCGACCTCTGCACCTCGACTTCTTCTGTCCAGGCATGAGCAATCTGGCAGTATCCCAGACCTCGCACTTCCTTCGGGCAGCTAGGCATCGAAAGGCTGTTACAGCTGAACGATGTGATGTATGTAGCTGGGATGAATTGGTTGGTAGTAGACCAGGTGGCTGTTGATCGGTTCGCCGAGCTTGGCAAAGGACTTAAAGACATTTCGTCATCCTCACCCAATAGCCAACTGAATGGTGACGAGCCGTCTGCAAGTGAACTGACAAGCTCGGCGAAAAGATTACCATCCATCTGATCACTTACTTTGGAAGCTGAATCTTACATGCGATTCCCAAGAGTGCAGTGCTTCAAATTCGGGTATACAAAATGTGACAGAACACTTTCCATACCACGTCAAACATTCAAGGACGAGACCGTTCGCATTCTTGCTGAACAAAGTGACAGCAGAAATGATAGATCGACTAAGGAGAAAAGTACTAAACGACTGCTGGAGCGATATACGCCCTGTTTGTCAGTTTGTGGATTCAAGGTCAGACACGCAGAAGCAAAGTTGTCTTCATCAAAACTGGAAAAAGTTCAGTAGGGCGAAAGTAACGGGTGAGGAAAGAGATCAATTGAAAGCGGTCTAACCATCGTCATCATCGACAGCGTGAAATCAGTGTTCAACACCGATGCTTCACTGCCGTACAACCATGATTTATTTGAAAGCCTTATTGTAAAGAAAGGAGTAAAAGTGGACGGGGGAAGGACTTAGTGCTAGCGGTCTACCAGAGGAACGGTCTCCCCGGCGGCAGACGACTGTGGTATCATTCAACGACCACATGAAGAGTTCACCGAGACATAAAGAATACTGTGTCAATCATACGCGTAAGACTGGAAAGCGAATATACTTTAGGGAAGCAAACGAAGTAATTGTGCTCCACCGCGATTCCGCGCTGGAGGAAATAGGAGGATTATACCAGTCCCGCGCGCTCCAGAGAGGGCCCTCTGTGCACATTCCGATTTGCTTCCGAGCGCCAAAATAATCGTCGTAACAAGGTTTACGTAGGTGAACCTGCGAAAGGATCATTACAGTACACAAAGCCCAAACACCCCAGTTAATCTGAGCATTTGTCACGGGTCGTCATGCCCGTTGGTTTTGCAGCATTGTCTGCCTAGGGCGGAGCGATCCTAGTTCCGTCATGTTCTACATGTATGACCATACATGCTGCAGCGTTGTCTGCCTACGGTGGAGCGTTCCTAGTTCTACCAACTTCTGGCTATACCTGGCACATGTACCCAGTATGTGTGCCTACGTACAGTCGCGTTTCGGCAGGGTGCCTACCCGTCTGATGCTCTCGGTATGCTCGCTTCCGTTGGTGGCCAGTCCATATTGGAGGTGACGGGATATGCTGTCAGCATGGATAGTGCTAGGATTAATGAGTGGGTTTGATGTGTGTTTCGACCTAGGGATGGCACTCATCTACACCCCAAAGGTGAAGTAAAACCATGGACGGTGAACGGGGAACCGCCTACGGCCTCGGAGGTTTACGACTGCGTATGTTCTCTCAAGCGCCACCGAGCTCCCGGTCCGGATGACCTTCCACCTGCACTGTTCAAAGACGGGGGTGAAGTCCTCAGTCAGTGCTTGTCCGACCTGTTTGTTTGCACTTGGGAAAAGGAGTCTGTCCCAGACAGCTGGGGGGAATCGGTGATAGTGCCCATTTTCAAAAAAGGGGCGCGTAGTGAGTGTGGTAACCACAGGGGGATCAGCTTGACCCCGGTTATAACGAGACTGTTGGCGTCAATTGTGCTTCGTCGCCTTACGGTGGCTCGTGAGATACTGACCCGAGAGCAGCAAGCGGGATTCCGGCCTGGTCGGGGTTGCGTTGACCAAATCTTCACACTGCGTCAGGTGCTAGAACAACGCCATACGTATATGGGACCCACGATTCTAGTATTCCTAGATTTCCGAGGCGCATTCGACTCGGTTGATCGGTCTGTTCTTCTTGAGACGCTTGCCC